GAGAAGGAAACAGGAAACCATTAATCAGTTTAAGATCAAATAAAGATTTTGTAAGTCAAAATTTCCCTTTCTCTTTTCTCAGCACTTGGTACCTCCCAATTCCCTATTGGGCCCCTTCCTTAAAATTATCCTCAAAAGCAGTTCTGTGGATGAGGAAGAAATGTTTGCCCTCTTTGCAGATTGGAAGAGTGAGGCACGCCATAGTTATACTCATGTTGGTCAAAGTCGCACAGCTAGTGGCAATTTGACTCAGATCCCAAATGTTCCAACTCTTAAGAGTTTTTAGCCCATTTTATTTATTTGGCCAGAAAATGTTTTATTAGCACCTACTATGTGCCAGTCATCATGCCCACACGGGGGTCATCAAGGAGCTGTTCTTATTCATTTAACTTCATCCGTAATAGCCTTTCATGTTTCTCTCAGGTGGCTGAAACCAGACATGGGAAAGAAAGCCAAACAAAAGACTCAAATTAAGAAGAAAACCTTGAATCCTGAGTTTAATGAGGTAAGACTGCCCCATTTGTGTCGTGCTCTGGGGTATTTCCTTTATGTGAGAGAGGGACGAATTTCCTGCTAGAATGCTGTGAAGCTCATCAGAAAGAGCTTTCTCTCATGGGTCAGCTTGAATTATCTAAAGGACAGGTAATGAGTTCCTTGTCACCAGAGGGTATCAAGCCTAAAACAAAACACCATAGTTTAAGAATGTCATAATCTATGCATTTGGAGAGAGTCCTTAGACTTTGGAGTTATTCCAGTAATCTCATCATGGTGAATAAGAAAGACTTTGTTTTGTATTTTTCTAGAGCCCGTGAGGAGATTTTTAAACAGACAAGGATTTTATTAGGGGAAATGCCTGTGTGAGGGAAAGTAGGGAGAGAGCTGGGGAAGTGGGGGAGCTGAGAGACCACAACCCAAGTCTGGCCCTAAAGGGTGGGGGTGGAAGCACCCTGGACACAAGGTCAGCAAAGCCATCAGGGAGTCCTCTGGCCAAAAGTGGCCATCAGACAGGTCCCATGTCTCCTAGGAGTGGGCCTGCCATAGTAGGCCTGCCACATCCAGTCATCAGCTGGGAGCCTGGCGTTGGTGCCAGCATGGCATGGGTTCCCACCCACAGTGGCTGGGGCCTTGGTCAGCTCTGCTCCTGTAGCTGGAGGCCCACCAGGCACATTTTTGTGGCCACCACTGAAGCAAACCCGGAGCCCAACGTCCATCTCTTCCACCTTCCAGCTGTATCACTATAAGCAAGTTATTTAACCCCTCTGAGCCCTAGATTCCTCATTGGTAAAACTGCGACCATAGTTCCTCTCATTTCCAAAAATGAGCATAAAGCTCACATGAGCTGTCATATAAAAAATAATTAGAACTGTGCTTAGGTTTGGATCCCAAATCCAACTGTCATCAATATTCTCTAGCTGTGCGACCTTGGGTTTGTGCCTTAACATCACTGGGCCTCAGTGTCCTCATCTGTAAAGTGGGATGAGTAAGATTGGTCATTAGTTCCAATCAGACACAATGACTAGATGAGATATGCAAAAGCTTTGTTGGGGAGAATGCCTGTGAAGCAAAATTGGAAGGGAGCCTGAGGAGAGCCGCAGGGACAGCAGGCCTTGGAGAAGGTCTGACCCCCTGGAGGAGAGCAGTGGGGAGGGCGGTTAGGGCGCAGGGGTCTTAGGTTGTGGTGCAATTCTGAGGAAGTTGCAGGCGGGGCGTTGGGGAATCCTTGAGGATGAAATAGGGCGTCAAAGGAGCCATGCGTGTCCCAGAAATTGTGCTGCACACTGTCCCTGCCGGCTCAGGCTGGCTGAGAGTGGCCCATGGGGAGTGTGGCCAGGTGAGAACATTGTGGTGCATTCAGAGCCCAGCAGCCTGTCAGTCAATTTCACCCCCTGCAGTTGGAGATCTGGGGGGTGCTATGTCGTGGAGTCTCATACACAGTAAGTGTTCAATAAATACTTGCCATTATGGTTATAAATAACTACCATCACTGTGCTTACTCGTGGCAAAGAGTGTAAGTAATCTCTGCAGCCTGTGAGACCCTCCCTCCCTCCACTACCACTGCTAATAGAAAGCAATGCTTCTCTTAAGGTCATGGCTAAAAATCAGGCCAGTCTGGGCTTTGCTTCAGATTTTCTTTGAATGAGGAGTTAGTGGACAGAAGAACACACATGTCAGGGATGAGTGTGATTTCTAGGAGTCATTTGGTTTTATTTTCTCATACAGTCCACTAGGGAAAATCAGCTCATGGGCCGCTGTCCTGCACTGCATCAAATCCCAGCCACGTGCAAATGGTTTTTCTTAAATAATTCTCCCCCCCACGCCTTCTCCCACCCACCCAATCTCCCCAGAAGTAGAGTTATTGTGGTTGCCAGCCTAAGGGCTGCCCTGGTAGATGTGGTAGAGAAGGAAACAGGAAACCATTTATCAGTTTAAGGTCAAATAAAGATTTTGAAAGTCAAAATTGCCCTTTCTCTTTTCTCAGGACTTGGTACCTTCCAATTCCCCTTCCTTAAAATTATCCTCAAAAGCAGTTCTGTGGGTGAGGAAGAAATGTTTGCCCTCTTTTCAGATTGGAAGAGCGAGGCACGCCGAAGTCACACTCATGTTGGTCAAAGTCACACAGCTAGTGGCAGTTTGACTCAGATCCCAAATGTTCCAGCTCTTAGGAGTTTTTAGCCCATTTTATTTGGCCAGAAAATTTTTTATTAGCACCTACTATGTGCCAGTCATCATGCCCACACGGGCAGCATGCCCACACGGGCAACATCAAGGAGCTGTTCTTATTCATTTAACTTCATCAGTAATAGCCTTTCATGTTTCTCTCAGGTGGCTGAAACCAGACATGGGAAAGAAAGCCAAACACAAGACTCAAATTAAGAAGAAAACCTTGAATCCCAAGTTTAATGAGGTAAGACTGCCCCATTTGTGTCATGCTCTGGGGTATTTCCTTTACGTGAGAGAGGGACGAATTTCCTGCTAGAATGCTGTGAAGCACATCAGAAAGAGCTTTCTCTCCCAGGTCAGGTTGAATTATCTAAAGGACAGGTAATGAGTTCCTTGTCACCAGAGGGTATCAAGCCTAAAACAAAACACCATAGATTAAGAATGTCATAATCTATGCATTTGGAGAGAGATTGAATTAAGTCATTTCCAATATCATTACCAGTTCTAATAGTCAATAATACTGAAATCTGAGGAAATACATGGGGCATGATCTACCCAGTGGTCACGGCCCTCTCCCTGTCTCCCACTCCGCAGGTCCATCCAGTGCAGGGAGTCTTGCTCAAGCCACTACCGAGATACCCACTGAGTGGACTCCTTCCTCTGTTCTCACTGTTACTCGTCAGGCATTTCATGACCAGACAGTTGCAGTGGACTCAGGCTGACTCCCTTCCTGGGTTTGGTCCATCCTCCACATAAGTGTGAGCTTCCTAAAACACAAATCTGAATTTCTCACCCTTTTGTCCAACCCAACAATAGCTCCCTGACTTCTTAGCATGACAATCAGGCCCTTTCAGACTCATAACCCACCCCTGTCCCGTGTCACACTCCAATCACACTAAACTCCACGCAGGTGCCTGGCACATTTCTCGCCTCTGCACCTGTTTCTCCCCTTCCCTGGACTTTCCCCTCTCTTTTCCTCTCTGGCAAACTCCTAGTTATCCCTTAAGAGTCAGTGTAAGCGTTAACCCCTGAAGATCTGCTCCCTCTATGCTTATAGGGTTTTTGCAGCCTTCCATCTTGTGCTGACCATGGATTTCAATTATTTGAACAAACCTGTCAGCTAGTAAGGATCCAGAAATATCTGGTGAATGTTTGGGCAGAGTCAGCTAGCACTGGTTTTTATCAAATGTTGTACAGTACGAAAGGAAAGCTACAGTACAGTCAGCTTTGTAGTGCTTCATTTTTAAAGGACATGCACCCATATGTGCATATATGGGGAATGTTCTGTGTAAACTGAGCCCAGAACAGTGACTGGCCAGTAGGTCTGCCTGTCCTGCTTCCAGGTCCCTCTTTCATCTGGACCCCGATTTCCCAACTCTGACTCATGAACTTTGAGTAAGGAGCCAATTACTACTGTCCTGCCTCCCCATCCCCTGGAATAAGAAATCCAAATAGCCAATTAACTCATGAGTAATAGAGAAAATATGAATCAAAACCATACACCATATCTCATCACAAACTGGCAAACAAATATTGTAAAATTTTGGTAGCCAATGCTGGTGAGGAAATGTACACACTGTGCGTGAGAGAGCAAAATGATTCAACTTCTGAAGGGAAGTTTGTCAAAAACTCTAAATTTTTAAAATTTGAATTCCATTTATTTTGGAAACAGGCGATACAGCCACATACTTGAGAATTCCAAAAGTACCGAAGTCAAAACGCTCCACCCTCCCCAGCCTGCTTCCCTTCTGAAGCCAGAATATTGTCTATTTCCAGGATTTATGTATACATAAAGCAAACAAATATGTGGGCAGCTTCCTTATGACACACAAACGGCACCACAGTTTACACCCACTAGTCCCTCTCTTAAAATTTTACAAACTCAGAACACTGCTTGAAATTTATCCTGAAAACATCACCATGGGTTTGCACAATGATTTACCTACAAGGATGCCTTTTATCATATCATTACAATAGTGGAAAATGGGAAACAACCTAAATACTCAACTGTTGAGCAGTAGGTTATGGTATAGCCACACAGCTATTAAATGAAGCCATTCTTAAAATTTTACAAACTCAGAAAAACACTGCTTGAAATTTATCCTGAAAACATCATAGTGGATGTGCACAATGATTTACCTACAAGGATGCCTTTTATCATATCATTATAACAGTGGAAAAATGGGAAACAACGTAAATACTCAACTGTTGGGCAGTAGGTTATAGTATAGTCACACAGCTATTAAATGAAGCCATTAAAATGGTGATATAGAAAAATATTTGCTAACATGTTAAGTTGGTTTTTACTATATGTTATAAAATGGAAAAGATAGCCATAAAAAGGTATATTCATATTATATTTCACATAATCAAATATTTCAAATAATGTTCAAATTAATATTCATATTAAAATTAAAAAATATCAATGTGGTCGCACATGGAGAAGGTTGACAGTGGTTTTCTTATAGTTAAATTACAAGTTTTGGGGTTTTTTTCTTATTTGTTTTAATGATGAGCATGAATGAATTTTATAATTAAGTAGAAAAGTTATGTAAGAAATCAGATTGTCTGGAAACATAAGCACTTAACCGTCACATCAGTCTCAGTCCCCTCAATGACCCTTCATCTGTAAATGATGGGGAGAGGGGTAGACCCACTTCAGAAGCTACCGGAATGGAAAGACCGAGTTCATGGCCATTTGCCTTCAAGCAAACTTGACCAGGACCAGTTCTCTTAGAAAAACCCTGGCAGCCTCCCCAGTATCAGAGAGTCCTTGAAGAGAGAATGACAGGCTGGGGGGACTTTATAATAAAGTGTTTGCCGAACGGAGGTTGCCAGGTGCAGAGTGGCAAGGCCCTCTTGCATCCTTCCGCTCGCGAGCCCCTAGGGCTCAGTCTCAGTCCCCGATGCTGGGGGTCCAGAGCACCCTCTCATTCACATGTCTTCACCTGCTGCATCCAGGAGTTTTTCTACGATATCAAACACAGTGACCTGGCGAAGAAGTCCCTGGACATCTCAGTCTGGGACTATGACATCGGCAAGTCCAACGATTACATTGGTGAGTGTTCCCAGCTCCCAGAGAAAACCCCATCTTCTGTCCTCCCAGGAGACGAGAGCCTTATCTGGAGCTGTACAGAGCTGAGAGGGGGCCTTTCCTGCGTGTAGCCACATTGTCTAAAGGCTAAGTTGGGCCCCATGGGCCTGATTTGGGTCTCACCTGCAGATGCCTTTAGATGAAAGAGCTCACCAAGCCAGGAAGATTCAATCACAATTGGTTATTTACTGAATAAATCACCTCCAGCGGAATAGTTAAATCACAGCAGATTGGGGTCTGTGGCCTCTGTGGACAACAGGGTGCAATGGCTATCTCCTTAATCTATTGGCAAGTCCAGGATGAAGGTTCTGATTTTCGCAGCCCCCTCCAAATGGTGAGGAAGAACAGTCACTAAAGATGGAGCAGGCAGGGAACCCCAGGCAGCGGACATAGTGGGAGCAAAGGTGTGGAGGGAGGGTTGCTCGGGTGACAAAACTGACTCTGGAAATAGGCAATGAGAACCCAGAAGTAGTAGCAGAGAATTATCAGGGAGTAGGGTGGTGATTTGTAGAACGTCCTAGAAAACAGATGATTTAGGAATGACTTGATGCCATCATAGGGGGTCCTTGCAGGTTCTTGGGTACATGGTCTGTAGGCAGAGAAGGCCAGTAGTACTCATAACATCATGCCAGTAATTGTCCATAGAGAAATGGATCTGCTTGGTGGAGGGGGGTCTGCTTGGTGGCAGGTTTTCCCCAAATAGACATTTCGGTCCAAAATGCAAGTCCCATGCATCCCTCCACTCTGCCCATCTGCCCCTATCTTCCCATCTTGTCCCCCAGGAGGCTGCCAGCTGGGGATCTCAGCCAAGGGAGAGCGCTTGAAACACTGGTACGAGTGTCTGAAAAACAAGGACAAGAAGATCGAGCGCTGGCACCAGCTACAGAATGAGAATCACGTGTCAAGCGATTAGGATGGTGGCCAGGCCCCCAGCCCCTGCCCCACCCATGCCCAGTCACCCCTAGCCTGCCCCAGCTGCCCGTCACACTCTGGTCTCTCTTCTCCCGGCCTCCCCACCCAGCCCTTCCTGAGCCTGCCTTTGCGGTGCCCCCGCCCATGGGCACTGCCACCAAAGACCTCCTCCCTTGGCAATGCTGCCAGGCCTGAGGATGCGGCCCCTCTGGCCCCTCCAGGACGGAGCAGGAGGGCTGGGGGATGGGCACATTTTACAAGGAGGCCGTTAACTGAACAGACTCTGGGTTTGGGCACGTTACAAAGGTTCTTCACCGTTTGGGACTGTTCTTAGACACTCCTGGCCTTGAACACACATGGACCAACTAGCGTTTCCTGCATCACGTCTGCACATGTCCTCAGTTTTCAGCTGCCCCAGGCAAGGCTGTGAGGACTAGTGAGCTCTGGGGCAGAACTAGTGCCCCCAGGCTCCCGCAGTCCCCGTGACATACCCCCATGGCCAGGAACACAGACCCCTGGGGTTAAACTCCTCAGAGGCTAGGAACACACCCTCCCTGCTCCAAACGCATCAAGGAATGGACACGAAGGACACACAGAGGGACTCGGTACCCCATCAGGAAGCCCCTGTTTGCCTCCTTGCACAGATTAGCACCCATTCCCTACGACCCCTCCTCCCTCTCGCTCTCCTTTGCACCATGTCCAGCTCGCCCTTTCTCCCGTCTCTCCTCTTCCCTCTTCTCCCAACTCTCTCCCCTTCCCCTCCTCTCTCTCTAAGGGGTAAAGCAGCAAAAGCAAAAAATATCTTAATGCAGCCCCTCCTCCTCTTCTCGTTTCACCAGCTTGACAGACACAGGCAGAACCCTGAAGTTCTACTTAGGCCCACCCCGCCTAAAACCACCCACTTCTTTGCCAGATGAGCCAGGTGGCTCAGCCCCAGGCCAGCAGCTGGCACTGCCCAAAGGGTGAAGCAGCACCCTAAGGCACATAGAGGGGCTTTCTCATCCCCTGGCCTCCCCAAGCGCACAGACAACATTAGACACCAGAGTTCCGGGCCCCGGGGGGCCTCTCCAAAGCTCCAGCCATTGTCCTCCCTCTGCTCTTAGTTAAATGAGCAAACCACCCGCTCCCTGGCTCTCCGACCCATTCGCATCCTGTCCCTCGCTCTGAACTGCCTAGAACCTCTCTGTCTCTCTTTGTCTGTACCTTGGTCTCAGTCTCTCTTGTCTTCCTGTCTCTTGCACTCTCTTCACCAAGTTTGTCGGGAGAATGAAATAACCATTGTGGGTCTAATACTTTAAAGAGTGACAGGCAATCTTCAGCGCCCCACGAGAAACTGATTTTTCCCAGTTTCCATGGTCTTTCTCCCACTGCCACAAACATCACCTCTTCTTACCCAACAGTCCACCCTTACCTACGGAAGTCATCCAATGGACACTAAAACTCTCACTTCCTCCAAACACATGCCTTTTAATGTTCTCCTTCCACCCCCAGCTCCCTGTACAATTCAGTGGAAGACACCAATTTCTTGCCTTGGATAACCAACATCAAGCTCTTCACCTTCCCAAGATGGCTGACAGCTTCCTGGCTGCCGTCTTCCCTCCCAACCCTCTCCTTCCCTGTCGGTCCCCTTGGTGCCCCCTCTCAGCCCACTGCCTTTCCCCGGCTTGCCCTTGGGAGAAAGCATGCTGGCTATGTTGCCCATGCCTAACGCTGGTATTGGCGCTAGAATCAGCACAGTGAGCTTTTGCTCTGTCCGGGCACGCCCTCCCCCGACCAGTGTAACCACCTCCCTGCCTAGAATACACACACACCCTCTGGTGCATGCAGAACCACCCATTTCCTTTCTTTGTGCTGATGTAGCCAAAAATAAAGTAGGAATATCCAGGAAAACTGGTGGCCTGGGTTTTTCCTTTCTGGTTTCTGGAAGTTCTTTCTCTCCATCAGGGTACATGCCGCTACTTGGATAGCCAGTATTTAATGAGCACCTACTATGTTCCAGCCCCAGGGACACAGCAGCGGACAAGCAGATGTGGTCTCTGCCCATGTGGAGTTTGTTTTCTAGTGGATTTCATCTTGTGCAGGTGGGCTCAAGGCAATTTGGCTGACCCCACACCCTCTTACAAGAATGCTTTTTGCTGGCAGTCACCCAATGGGGAAGTAGCACCATTATCTCCCACCTACCCCAGGGGAAAGCCCCAAGTGGTTGTGTAATCAGGTAATATCAGGGCTGAAAGAGACACTAGCCAAGAGCCAGGGCCTAGTTCAGTCAACCCACTTGTCTGACATGAATAACCCAAAGCCTAGAGAAGGGAATGGCACACCCAGCATCTCAGGGCACCAGTGCCAGGAAAGGAGCCAGATCATTGGACCCCTGTGCTCTTAACATACTGACCAATAATAACACAGATCATCAAACACCACCTTGGTATTCTAGCACCTTCCACCCCACAACGAGCCTTCACACATGATACTAACTTGAGATTCTCAACAGTCTTGAAAGTGAGCTGAGTAACTAACTTTCCAGAAGGGTTACCTCACTATAATTTATCCCAAAAGTGTTTAAGCAATTTATCAGGAATGTCAGTGACTTCCCAGAAGGAGCTGTCCATTCCACCCAACAGAACCTTCCCTTCCAGGTCAAGTTGGAGACGATTTTCTCTTCTTGTTCCCAAAAAGGTGGGTCTCAGTTTTGGGGCAGAAGTCCTCAAAGAATTCCCTGGGAAGATTTGATTTTCAAATGACCCATGCTCTTCCCGGAAGCACACCGCCGTCCCTCCCATCCCAACATCTTCCCCCTCTCCCAGATTCCGCTGTGCCCTGGCGACAAGGTGTATATTTGAAAATATTTCCTGGTGGATGTCTTATGCTTCCCACCTCCATCATGACTGCAAATCACTGCCCTCCAGTCCACCTATATTTCCTATACTTTAGCCAGCTGCCACCAGGTGGAGAGAGGTGCCAATTTAGGCTGCCCAGGAATGACAGGAGACACTTCGTACCTCTTTCTTGCCCTGTGCTTGTAGAAGACATCACTAATCAATACGGCATCTTTCCTATTGATAAAGGAAAGCTAGAGCCTACTAGTAACCTCTGAATCCTCAACACAGCATTCTAGGCAGCCACCACCCGTCAGTCGTGGAGAGTCGAAAAGAAACCTAATTTCCATCTCTAAAATGGTTGATCTCCTTCCCCAGGCATGGGGACATGCCAAAGAAGATGAGATGAATATATCTGAGCAAAATTTTCATAAATATCAGTACACCTGCCTTGGCTAATTACCTTTTTTGTCACACTGAAATAAAACACTTTGCAAGAGGCAACATGGTGTGGCAGAAAGCACCAGACTGAAACAGCACACCAGCTTTTCAATCATTCAGTCCGGCATTCAAATCCTGACCATCGATTTCCAGCAGTGGAATCTAACCTCCTTGAGTCTCAGTTTCCTCATCTGGACCATGGGGATGACAATAATAATAGTAAATACTTGAAAGAGGAGAGAGCAAGTTGCCAAGGTCTGGTCTTCCATCAGGACTGACAAAGATGAGGCTCGGGAAAAGGGAAGTTCAAGGGGCTGGTGGTTCCTGGTGAAAGCAGGGCAAACTTGGCACATGGCTTACGCCTCTCAGTGCTCCGAAACCCCCTGGGCTGGTTCCTCCTTGGTTCAATCAGATTTGCTAGGGGCATTGGCCTAAGAAGGTTAAGTAACACTTCCGAGCACCACAGAAACACACTGCCATGCACGCACGCAAGAGGTGTATTTTGCTTGACTCTGGCCAAAATTTGTGGTGTGACCTTGAGCAAATCACTTCCCCCTTGTGGGTCTTCAATTCCGTAGGCAGGGCATCAGAGTATCATGATTCTCCAACTTGGTTGCCAGGGCCCACACATGTGCCTTAATTTCCCAGTTGTCCAGTAAAGACCTAGCTAGTCCTTTTTACTGAGAGTAGGCCCCCCGACCAGAACCTTGCATTACTACCTTGCGTAAAACACACAAGGGTGAGCTGTCTTCAGTTTCCTGTTCCTGTTTCTTTAAAGGGAGCAACAACATAAAGCCATCTGCAAGAGCATGAGGGCATAATTCTGGATTTTTCCAATATTTCCTTAGTCTTTTACAGTTGCCTCACTCTTATCTAATTCCATGCAACGTTTTATGAAATTTGCCTTTACTGCCTTTTCCCAAAGAATTCATGTTGGTTGAAAACATTGGTTTTCTAAGGACAGATGTCATTTGTATTTATTTTTGGATCTCCTTATATATAGTTAGTAAAAAACATGTATTTCATTAACAAGTACAATTGCCAAAAAGGCACTTGGGAGCCAACCAGATCTTTGATTTACATACAGTCGAATGGTGAGCAGAGTGTCCTGTGGACCCTCACATGCTTCACGGTTCCCTTTTGCCTTTGGCTTCAGTCACAGGATATACAGGAGTGGGGAGTGTCAATTAATAGAGCTGGCTAAGGAAAAGGCTAAGAAAGTTAGTTCATTGGCATTTATAGACTCCTTCATCCAAGAATATACATTCTTCTCAAGCTCACATGGGACATTCACCAAGACAGACCACATTCTGGGCCCTAACAAATTCCAAAGAACAGATATCATGCAGAGTATGCTCTCTACCGCAATGGAATTAAATAAGAAACCAATGAAAGAAAGCTATCTGGAAAATTCCAACATATTCGGAGATCAAAAAACACACTTGTAAGTTATACAAGGGTCAAAGAAGTTTCAAGAGAAATTTAAAAACATTATGCTCTAAATGAAAAAATAATGAATTAAAGTTTGTGGAATGCAGTGAGGGCAGTGCACATGGAGGGAATTTGTTAGCATTGAACACATAATATTAGAAAAGAAGGAAGATCTAAACAGGGAGGGTTGAACAGGTGGAACAAGGAGATTTTTGAGGAAGTGAAACTGTTCTGCCTGATCGTATCATGATGGACACATGACTGATGCGTTTGGCAAACCCACGGAATGCACAATGCAGAATGAACCTTAATGTAGACCATGAACTTTAGTTAATAACATTTCTGTATCGATTCAACTGTAACAAACGTGGGCAGGGGAAACCCTGGGTGGAAGGAGAGGGGGTACCTGGGAACTCTTGCCTTCTGTTCAAGTTTTCCGTAAACATACAACTGCCATAAGAAATAAAGTCTATTAATCAAAAGGAAAAACAATACACTATGATGTCATTTTTTTTAAAAAAGAAAAGAGAACAGTGTTTGTGTGTGTGCTTGTGGAAATACCTGGGGAGATGTACACCGAAATGTGCACAGGGGTAGTCTTTGAGTTTCAGGATCATGGTGCTCTTTATGCTTCCTGATTTCTCGGGCTCCCTTTTCTCTTTGCACTGTGCTTGTACTGCTGCGAGGATCACAGGGCATTATGAAACAATTTGTCAGCAACAACAGCAGATGAAGAAGGACACCAAAAATCTGTTTTTAACTATGATTTTTCTTGGGCGAGGTGCTAACAGGGGCTAAAAGCACCATTCCAGAGTGCAGTCTGGAGAAGGGCCTGACGTGCTAGCTCATTAAAGGACCAGAGGAGTTTCCAGGGAGTGGAGGGAGGGGCGATCAGGGAGAGCAGATACAGTTCAGGAATCAATGTGCCATTAGCTAAGCTCCTCCCTTCCCAGGAAACGAAACTGAGAGCAGCCAGGCTGAGGCAGCCGAAGGGAGAGAAGCTGACCGCTTCCTGAAGCCCGTTAACAGCCACTGGCTCTCTTGTCCCTGCCCCGGGCATCATGGGGCAGCTCAGAGACATCCCAGCCACACATCTGGACAAATATATCGAAGACCAGCTCCTGCCAGACATGCATTTCCGCGTGCAGGTGAACCAAGCCATTGACATCATCTCCAGTTTCCTGAAGGAGAGGTGTTTCCAAAGTGCTGCGCACTCTGTCCGGGTGTCGAAAGTTGTGAAGGTGAGTCCGGGCCTGCCTGCCTGGGGAACGGGTGGCTGGGCAGGCAAGCTCCCACGGAGACAGACAGAGGACAAACAGGTGAGCTCTCTGGGGCTGCTGGTGTCTGATGTATCCAAACCAAAAATATAATCGCAGCTTGTGACAATAGATTCTTGGGTGAGAATCTGCAATCTGTAATCTCATCTGTAATTTCTTTTTATTAGAGTATCATTGATACACAATCTTATATTGGTGTCAAGTACACAACACAGCGATTCAACAGTTACCCATATTATTTAATCCTCACCCCCACTAGTGCAGTTACTATCTGTCAACATAGGAGGATGTTACAGAATTATTGGCTGTATTCCCCATGCTGCACTACCATCCCTGCGACCAACTTCTATTATGATTGAGAAGTTTTGTGCCCCTATACCTGGCTCCGCATCCCCATCCACCTACCCCAGCCCCTCCCTGGTAACCACCAGTCACTTCTCAGTGTCTGTGAGTCTACTGCCATTGTGTTCATCAGGTTTTGTTTTGTTTTTAGATTCCACAAATAAGTGAAATCATATGGTATTTGTCTTTCTCCACCTGGCTTATTTCACTTACATCTGTAATTTTTAAATAAATGCCCTGGGTAAAGTTTGTGAACCACTGTCCTAGGCCGTGTCCATTTCAGAGACAGGGAAACTGAGACACAACTCTAGTACATGATTGTTAATTCATGGCCAGCCTGGGGACTGACTCATCATTTCTGTACTACTGTGAGCTGGTTAATAGTATTAGTTTTTAAAGCAGAGAGCATCTAATGGCTGTGAAACTTTGAACAAATCACTTAACCTATCTGTACCTCAATTTCCGCATCCGTGACTCCCAATACCTTATAGGGCTGGGCAAACTAAGTCTACCAGCATATAATCAGATAAGATAGTAAAGGACAGGAAGGAAAAAACACAGACTCTAGAACAAGGCAGCCAGGGTTTGAACTGCATTCTGCCACCTACCGCCTGTGTGATTGGGCTGTTATATAATCTCTCAGGGCATCTATTTCTCCACCTAAAAAGTGGAAACTAATAATAACAGTACCTAAGTCATACAGTCCTTGTGAACATTACAGGAGTTAAGACTGGTCACACCCTCAGAACAGTGGCTAGCACCCAGAATGTTAGTGATTGCTCTTGTCATTTTACTTAGGAGGCTCTTCCCAATCAATGTTAATTTGTACTCTCCTCACATTTTAGGGTGGCTCCTAAGGCAAAGGCACGTCCCTCAGAGGCCGATCTGATGCCGACCTCGTCGTCTTTCTCAGCCCCCCTACAAGTTTTCAGGAGCAGCTTCAGCACCGAGGAGAGTTCGTCAGGGAAATTAGGAGACAGCTGGAAGCCTGTCAACGAGAGAAAAAGTTTGATGTGCTGTTTGAGGTCCAGAATCCGCGATGGGAGAAGCCCCGTGCACTGAGCTTCATGCTCAGGTCCCCCCCGTATCCAGGAGGGGGTGGAGTTTGACATCCTGCCTGCCTTTGATGTCCTGGGTGAGTATTCGCAGACACATGGGGTTCCTGCCTTTGTCCTATGACAGGGCTTCTTTCTCTCTCCACATTTCTGAGCACAAATTTCCCACAGTTTGAGAGTCTTACCAAAGTAGGACATCCCTTCACAATGAGGAGATTAGCATCTCTCTTGAGGCAAGATAAGTAAGGTTGTAATCAGCCATGGGAGTGACATTAAACAGCATATTGGCAAAATTTGGGGGCAAGACGTTCCTTATACAACACCTGCCGGGCTTGCTAATTCTACTTGTGGCAAAGTATGTGAATTTTATTTTTTTAAAAATGAGGCAGCATAGATCTGGCTTAAAGTAAGTATGATAATTTCATCATTTATCCAAAACATGAGGAAACCTCATCAAGCTTACACTGACGGTTGTGATATCTATAGATAATCTGCTGGAACATTTGGATGGGAAGCGTCTCTCCGAGGCTCCATTCCCCCATTAGGAACTAAAACCTCACTACCTATGCCGTACTATCATTTTACGTATTAAATTATCATGTACATTACACTTACACAGAGGCTGGCAGATACTAGGAGTTTAAAAATGTGAGTTCCCCAGCTGTGAAGCAGGGCACCCCAGGACAAACACTGTGAACCAGTTCACAGCGGCGCAGGAAACAGCTCAGATTTTAAATTTTGGGGGGAAACAGCGACATCTGTCAGACAGCACAGAAACTACTACTATTAAGTTGTATGGACTTAAATGGAACTGTTAGGGGTTACTTTGGGTCCAGGGGTCCTGTGAAGAAAATGCTGAAACCCCAAAAGCACCAGAAATGAGAACGTTTGGGAATGTCTCCTTGTTGCCACGTCCTGCCTTGTCCTGGGATATGATGGTTACCAAAAAAATAAGAGAGGGAGAGGAAGGACATGCCAGGCAGAGGGAACAGCACAGGCCAAAGCCCAGAAGTGAGAAGAGGTCAGGGTAGGTTGGGAAATCAAAAGAAATGCTGAGGATGAGTGGAGGGGAGAGGGCAAGGAGGAAATGCTGGGACAGGAGCCAGGAGCTGGTCCTGCAGACACTTGTAGCCTTGGTACTGAATCTCTCCTGCACACACAGGAAGCTTGAAAGGGTTTCAGGAGGGAAACTACCATGGTCAGATTTGTGTATTAGAATGTGGCCCCAACTAGTGTGGGAAAAAAATTGGAAAAGAGACAAGACTGGACAGAGACATCCAGTCAAAACCATAGGCACAGATTATCTACTGAGCACCTACTGTGTGCCAGGCACTGCTCTATGGCCATAAATGAGCCAAACAAGGAATCTTTCTCTAGGAGCCTGACAGTAAACATACAAACAAGATACATGACACTGGCTGAGACAAAAGCTGAATAGGGTATCATGGGGGTAGAGGGCTTTTTTAGACAGGGTGACAAGGGAGAGCCCTCTGAGGAGGTGACATCTGAGCTAAGGCCCTAGGATGAGAAGGAGCCAACCAGGGGAAGATATGGGGATTCCAGGAAAAGGAAACAGAGAGTGCAAAGGCCCTGAGACAGGGATGAGCTTAGCATATTTGAGGAACAGAAAAAAGACCAGGGGAGTAGGTGGAGAGGGCAGTGAGGCAGCAGGCAAGGCGAGAGAGGAGGCAGGAGACAGACTGCCGCTGACCACACAGGCCTCCGTGGGCACTCTTTACTCTAGATGTCCTGGGAAGCAAGAAGTGGTGTGTTCAGATTTTGAAAGGCCTCTCTGGGTGCTGTGTTGAGAATGGGCAGTGGAGGAACTAGCAAAGAGGCTGCTGCCTTGGTCCAGGAGAGTGATGATGGCGTGGGCAGGGTGATGGCAGCAGAGACGGGCCGCAGGGCCCCTGGCTGTAGGCTGCTGCTGCTTCGGCTGCAACCCACATGGCCAGGGAGCTGTCTCCCCAGAGCAGCTGGAAGAACCTCAGAGAAGAGCTGACATCTGCCAGCTACATATTCTTCCCAAACAGGTCAGTTGACCAGCGACTACAGACCTGACCCCCAAATCTACGTCCGGCTCATGCAAGAGAGCCAACGCCTGGGGAGAGGAGGTGAGTTCTCCACCTGCTTCACGGAGCTGCAGCGAGCCTTCCTCAAGCAGCGTCCCACCAAGGTGAAGAGTCTCATCCGCCTGGTCAAGCGCTGGTACCAAGAGGTATGGCCCTCCCAGCCAGACGGAGGAGAGAGAGGCGTGGGGAGGGGAGGGGCAAGGGAAGGGGGGGAGGAAGGACAGGAGGTGGGAGGGGCAAGGCCTGGGACAGGTGCCAGTGGACCCAAGGTACCTCCCCGTCCTGGTCTGTCCCAGCTCAGGGAATGGTAACCCCACCCTTCCAGGTTCCCTGGCCCAAACCATGGGTCTTTCTTGACTCTTTTAGACACTTCACTCCCCCGCCCAGTCAGCAAATGAGGCTGGCCCGGCATGTAGAATGTATCTCTGATTCATCAGTGTCACCACCTCCCACACCCTCATCCTGGTCCACGTGGTGTGGGGGACTCACGGGATCTCTCCTGAACCTGCCTCTCTGCACCCCCATCTCTGCCCCCCGCCCCTCCCCCAGGCCCATGCTGCCCTCCTCATTGTTCCTCCACGAGGCCTCCTGGCCTTGTTTAGGTCTGTATGCCCACTAAAAATGTACATGAAAGAGGAATGTGGACGTTTCACTCACTGCCCTATCCCCAGAACCAGGAACAGTGCCTGGCACATAATATAGGCTAACATGTACTCTGTGCTTAGCTTGAACCAGGTTCATTGTATTTAATCTTTTGTGAATGTGATTTGCATTTCTGTTGACCTTTAAATGTCTTATATTTTACTTTCATGGCACGTCTGTGAGCTGACGAAGGGTAGGCATTATTATTAAAGCCATTTTACAGAAAGAGAAACTAAGAGTCAGATGGCTCTTGGTGCTAATAAGGACAGAACGAAAATGTGGGTTTGGGTCTTCTGATTCAGGAGTTTGCCTAATATACAATAAGCATTCTATATATTTTTGGATGAATGGATAAGTAAAAGAAAATAATTAAGGATAACCTGCCTACTTTAGAAACGACCCTATAGGCAAAGCAAGATGACCATTTATTTGTTGGACTTGCTGTTCCAGGAATTTTGACCAAGGAGGCTGAGCATTTTTTAACTTAACAAATGTGGTTCTTGACAAGCACAACCCTGGTTGTTTTACAATGAGACAGTCCTGTGCAGCAAAGGATTGTCCCTTCCTTCCTTCCTTCCTCCCTCCACGCCTTCCTTTCTTTCTTCCTTCTAGCCTCTAAAACAACACAGGCACCTTACCATACTTTAACACCACACACCAGCACCATGGGCCGCTAACTTACATGCTACTTTTCGTTGTGTATTTTAAGTCTCTAGATTTTCATGTCCCTCACAGCATGATGATTGTTTTACATAGCCAGTGTTTGTTCAATCCACCCACATATTTACCATTCTCATCACTCTCAGTTCTTTCCTGCATCTCTAACTGTCTGTCTGGGATCACTTTCCTTCTTCCTGAAGTATGTCCTTTTGGTGATGGTCTTCTCACAGTGAACTATTAGTTTTTGTTCCTCTGAGAAAGTCTTGATTTTACCCTCATTTATAAAGGGTATTTTTGTTGGGCAGGTGGTCTTATCAGTACATCAAACATAGCACTCCATCGTCTAGTGTCACTAGTGAGAAGTCAGTTGACAGTCTCTGTGGCTCCTTTGTAGGTGATGTGTCTCATTCCTCTGGCTGCATTTCCATTTTTCTCTTTGTCTTTGATTTTGTTTAGTTTCAATCTGACGTGGCTTAGTGATGATTCCCTTTTATTTGTCCTGCTTGGGGTTCATTGGGTTCTTTATTGGAATTCCTGAACCTATGAATGGGTATCTTTCATCAGTTTTGGAAACTCTCAGAGTTGTTTCTCCCTAAAGAGAGAGAACACTGTCTAAATATTCTCTCTCCTAAATATTGTCTAAAATATTCTCCTAAAATATCATCTCTCTGTCTCCCTCCCCTCAACTCTTGGAACTCCAATTAAATGTATATTATACCCTCCTTATCTTTATACCCTCTTCTATATTTTCCACCTTTTTGTCTCTCCATGCTTTATTCTGAATAGTCTGTTCTGATACGTTCTCCAATTCATTAAATTTCCCCTAACCATCTCTAATTTGCTGTTGGGTTATTGATTACAGTTACTGCCATTTTTGTCTATTTTGTCTATTTCTATTTTATTCCTTTCAAATATGATGTGTTACTTTCTATGGCTTCTAATTCCCTGCTACTTCAAGCTCATCTTTTATTTCTTTGAACATCATACTCCTAGCTATTTTAAAGTCTATATTTGATCCTTCGATATTTAAAGTTTTTGTGGATTTATTGCTATTTTCTCATTTTTTCGCTGGTCATACTCTTGGTGTCTTGTTTCCTTGTGTGCCTGGTTATCTATGTGCTGGTCATTGTATCTGAAAATTACTAGTGAAATAATTTGAGGCTTTGGATTATATATTTTACTCCAGTGAAATTTTGGCTGCCTCTTAGAAACACTACAAGTCCTTCCTCTCAGTTAATTTTCAAGTGTTCTTATGAGGTTGGTGCTATTTTTACCACTCACGTGGCAGATGAGAAAATGACGCTCTAAGAGTCTTCCCAGAATTGGACAGTGGTGGAGCTAGGATTCAAACCCACATGAGTCAGAATCCAGAACCCGTGCTCTCAGCCAGGAGTTAGGGAACTTTTTCCAGGAAGGCATAGGTAGTGAATATTTTAGTCTTTGTGGCCCACATGGTCTCTGTCACAACTATTCAACTCTGTCTTCACAGCCTGGAAGCAGCCTCAGACTGTACATAAATGAATGGGTGTGGCTTTGCTCCAAGAAAATTTTATTTACAAAAACAGGTGGTGGGCTGGATTTGGCCTGTGGAAAATGTGTTTTACACAAAAGCCAGACAAGCCCACTTTTCTGATTGTTTTTCCTCTTCTCAGTGTAAAAAGGAGCTTGGGAAGCCACTGCCGCCTCAGTATGCCCTGGAGCTCCTGACAATCTACGCTTGGGAGAAAGGAAGCATGGACACAGAATTCATCACCGCACAGGGATTTCTGACCGTGTTGAAACTAGTCCTGAACTACCAGCAGCTTTGCATCTACTGGACAAAGTATTACACCTTGGAAGACCCTTTTATTAAACGCTACGTGATGGCACAGCTTGGGAAACCCAGGTACTCTTCACCTACATGGGTGAGCTCCCCACATAACCGGGCCCCTGAATACAGCTGTGGCACCTTGGAGATGGAGGAAGTGAGAGGGCTCCTCACTGATTATTGATCATCTTCAGTTGTCAATCATTGTGTTAAGCACCTAACTACTGCCATCCCACCTGAACAACAATCTCCAACCCTGGGAGGTAGGCACTAGGCTAACCACTTTACAGATGTGTAAACTGAGGTCCAGAGAGGTAAGAAGCTTGTCCACACCTTAACAGAATGAGTGGACCAGCTGACATGTGAACTAAAGTAATAGCAGCTACAGCACTACTAGCTGCTCCCAGGGACGAAAAGCTGCTATAAGACACATCCTAACATGATAGGAAAAAGTATTATCATTATAATCGACATGTATGGATCCCTTACTATGTTCCATACTATGCTGAGCACATCACACGCTTTGTCTCGATCCTCATACCATATCCTTGAGACAGGCATGTTCTTCTGTCCCCATTTTATAAATGAGGAAACTGAGGCTTAGAGAAGCCAAGCATCTGCCCATGGGCACACCACTAATACAGGCCAGAAGGTGAGATTCGAACCCAGTTCCATCAGGTCCCAGTGCAAGTCCCTTACCCCTTGTGTTCACTGCATGCCATGGGGTGGGGGGCTCTCAGGACACACCCCAGAGAACAGCACCCTCCTGGGCTCTTCCTCCTGCCCTGAATCCCAGCCTGCACCAGGCGGGTTTTTCTCTCTAGACTCGCCAAACACACCCTAATTCCTCACCTTTCTAAACATTACTCTCTAGGCCTATAATTCTGAACCCGGCTGACCCTACAGGAAATGTGGCTGGTGGAGAACCAAACAGCTGGCCGCGGCTGGCACAAAAGGCCAGAGCCTGGCTGAGTTATCCCTGCTTTAAGAAATGGGATGGGTCTTCAGTGGGCTCCTGGGACGTGCAGGTGAGACCTTCTGCCTGCTCCGTGTCCTCCTCTGCCCCCCACCCCACAGCATGGGGCATGGAGCTGGAAGCCATTCTTCCCAAAGAAATTGCCTCTTGCCAGAGGTCACTCATATCTGTGTAGTTCCAAGCCATCCTCCATGTTGTACAGTCATTTTGGCCCCATTCAGGGGGTTTCTGGAATTGGCACTTCCCTGGCCCAGAGTCACTCTTTAATTATTGTTGCCTTGGCCAGAGGCAACTCTTTCAACAGCTTCTGATGGCTCATTCCACCAAGAATAATAATAAGTAATACTGAATATTTGCTCAGATGTTTTCTACTCCTGACTCACAGATGAGGAAAGGAAGCTCAGAGAGGGGAAGTCACCTCCTCAGGGACATTCAGCCAGGGGGCGGTAGAGCCGGGATTCGGGCTCCGCAGAGTCCGGCACCCTCACTCATTCCATGCTCACCAGCCTGCCTTGCATTCCTCCACTTCCCATCTGACAGACAGAGGCTCAGAGCAGCTGAGTGATGTGAGCACGTCACACAGCTCAGCAGGGGCAGAAGGACCTGAACCTGGATCTCTCCACGCTTGGAGTAGGGGTCTTTCCTCATGCCAGGGGATGGATGATGTCACAGGGGGGTGTCCTGACAGCAAACTGAGATGGAGTTTAGTATACAGGATATTTCAAGGGGAACCACTGAACCAACACCTTGAGGGGGCAGGAGAAGGAAGCAGGGGTGGGTGCAGAGAGGAGTCCGGCTGGGCTACAGCCAGATGACAGTCTCCCAGCCAGATGACAGTCTCCCCCAACCCTTCCTTGGGGTAGCCTGGCACTTCGGGGGCCTGTGGAGTTGTCCTGCAGGAGTCTGAGCTGCTCAGGCCTTTATTCCCCCGCATGGACCAGCCGCTGAAGGTGGGCAACTCAGGAAGGGGCATGGTCTTGAATCAGGGGCTCTCTGCAGCCAAGGCATCCCTAAAGGGGCTGACCCTGAAGTCTGTCTGCTGGTTACTGGGATTTGCTTGTCCTTTCTCAAGAGAAATTCAGGTGGCATGTCACAGTATCCACCATAAATGCTCACTGACACTCAGTGCCAAGGTTGGAGGATCAGCTCTCTAATGTAACCATGTGCTTTACCCTTTCAGCCCAAAGACAACCTCTGCTCCATACCATGAGTATGGACAGCGTCTACTCCCCAGGAGGAAAACAACAGGACTTGTGCCATCCTCTGAATGCCACGGCATCCTGGGGGAAAGGGCTCCAGAGAAACCAGAGCCAGCCCCTCATTTCCAGGGGTGGGGTCCCTTGATCCAGAGAGGGCAGAGGACTGCCCCAAGGCTGGCAGTGACTTAGTGTCCAACCTAGATCCCCCCTTCCCAGTGTTCTGCACACCCTCTCCTATCATAGGTGGCTTCTCCTCGCAGCCCGGACTCCACCCCAGCCTGTCTCTGACTGATCTCTGGGAGAAAGCAGGGGAGATTTAGATGCAAGCATGGCATCGCAACCCTGACTTCTTCTGTATTCCCAGTGGGAGGATTATGGTTTAATGTGCTATCAATAACAATAAAAATAATGGCATATACCACTCATCGTGTTTATTAACTTCACATAGCCATGAAGTATACCTGCGTACAATGTGTGTGTACTGATTCAACTAGGAATATTTATTGAGCACAGGCTGTGTGCCAAGCACTATTCTGGGCACTAGGAACACAGCAGGGAACAAAGCAGACAAAAATTCCCACCTTGTGGAGCTGACATTTGTGTGGAACATTTTAATGTTGGGTAGTTTAGGACTCTTCCATTTTTCAGTTTTATAAATAATCCTGATTATTTGCTGATGCGGGTGAAGTTCACGGAGGAGATTAGGACACAGCTAGGAGACTGTCCCAGACGGAGGTGTGGTGTGAAGTTTCGGAACCCCGGAGTGCCCAGCTTCATGCTGAATTTTCACTCACTGCCACCTTTGAGGCCCTGGGTGAGCGATTCCAGATATCCCCCGACACACACACACTTCCCTTCATGCCCACAGGCCACAGCCCTCCCAGAAGCCCCTCCAAGCCCTTTCCATCTTGCATAGGTATCAGCTTCTTACTGTGTTCTGGGCTGTAATTTCCTCCTCCATCCAATCCCCTATCTCTTTCTGGGGTCTCCTGGTCTCCAGTTCACCAAAGGTACCTCTACTTGGGATCCAACAGCATTATTGCAGTTGAAGGTGAGAGTTGAAGGCATATGCGTATGATCAATCCACTGTCTAATCCAGTCGTGACTTTGCTGCTACCTTTTAAAAATTCCTCAAATGTTCTGCTCCCTTAATGGCACTCTTTCTCAATTTCCAATCTGTTGCATTGCACGATGCTTTCAACATACCGTGGCTGTCATTTCAGTTTGATCTTGAATGTGTTCAGTCCCTCATCTCAAAGGGAAGATTTCTAATATGATCTGTGAATCAGGAAGATGATGGATTAATAGGTGAGCATGAAAATCACGGCTTTATGGCTGAAGGCATGTGGCTTGAATCCCCTCTACAACATCTGACCTACAAAATAGTCTTCGTCCTATACTTGAATACCCCCCAATGAGGTGGCATTCACTACTCAAATATAAACTGGGTCCACCGCGACCTCTGAAGTTCACCCCCTGACCCCACCCATTTCCTTTTGGTTAAGGCCAACTTCATGATGCTCTTAAGATTGTTACCTGAAATATACTCCAAGGCAGAGAAATGCTGGATCCCTGAGCCGATGGGACAGAAGACTAATGAGTTTTTGAGTGAACAGGGAGGAGGGGATGATGCACTGTGGCATAGGCCAGGCCTGGGAAAGAGCACATGTGCACATTCTGGTCACCTGGGTATGGGAGGAGCAGGGAAGCAGCCAAAAAGGGAGAGGACATGCAAGAAGACAGAAACAGCAGTGGACTACCACAGACCCTCAAGCCTCCACTCGGCAGCTTAGCATCAGCCGCCTTTGGTGCCAGTCGCAAAGGAGTCCAACGCTTGTAGCTTTGAAATGTTTTCATTTGTGACAGTGTGTGAGGTGGCATTCTCAACTGATTTTCCTCTCATTTCTCCTCTTAAAAAAATAGGCTCGATTCTTACAGACTTTAGAATGATGTGTTTGATGTTTTTAGCCAATGGAATTTTGACTGAATTGTAAAATCACCTAGGAAGTGCTGGCCCTGCAGAAACAGCTGGCAGCGGTGACAGCTTGTACTGGGTTTGAATCCAGCCTGAAAACTGCAGCTCAGTGACCCTGGACAAGAAGCCTCATTCTCTGTGCCTTAATTCCCTCATCTATCAAATGGGGGTGACGATAGGAGCCTCATCGCTGGGAGGCTTCAATGAGAGGAGGTTAGTAAAGCAGTTACGGCCAAGCGTTTGCACGTGCTCCGCTCTGCTGGCGGGTTTAGAACGCAGCCCTTGGCCGGAGAGCGAGCTAGTGGTTCTCTGTCGATGTAAGTCTCCTCCGTGACAATCAGTTAGCGCTCCTACTATTTTTTCACTCAAGTCGCGCCATGTTTCTTAAAGGCTCAGGGTACATTACCCGGGGCCACTGCGTGTGTTCCGTGGACCCGCCAGTGTAGAGGCGTTGTGTCCCGGTATGCTCAGTTCATCGGGGCTGGGGGCAGCGGGCGGCCAGCCGGGGTGCTGGGGTCGCCGAGGCCCCGGGAGAGCGGCGCACCTGGCAAGGGGGCCGGGAAGCGGGCCTGAGAGCCCGGGGCTGCCGGAGAGAAACGAACCTGAAAGCGGCCAGGGGGCCCATTGCGGGGGGGTCGGGAAGCCGGCGGGCTGGGGGGCGGCCTCGCCCACGCCCCGCGCCGGACCCGGACCCGGACCGGCGCTGCGAACGCTGCTCGGAGCCCCCTGGGTCTCTCCCGGGGCCTCCGGACACGCACCGCACCTGCGACGCCGCGCCGGGCCGCCTGCAGACTCGCGAGGGTCGCGCGGGCGCCCTGGGGGCCACCCTGAGCCCCCACAGGGGCCCCGGCAGTGGTGTCACCAGCGGTTTTACCTTTTTTTTAAGTTAGTTGCCAATATTTAGAAATCATACATTTACATATTAAAATGTGTTCTCCTTGACAACTCAAACCTGGCTTGCCTGGGCTTGAATTCCTGCACGACCTCGAGCACTGGGAGCTGTGGCCATAGCCTCCACCCAGCCCACTCGCCTCACTCACGTTCCCTTCCAGCCCGTGAGGGTGCTGGAATCGGAGAGGGCAGAATTCTGGGTTCTTCCTTTCCTCACAGGGAGGCTCCTCTGGCGGGGGCACAGCTCTGAGGGGTGGCTGTGATAACGGACTTGTCGCCTTCCTCCACCGCTTCAAGAGCCATGAGGAGCAGCAGGGGGCTTGCTGTGCAGAGATCCTCAACAGGACGAGGCCCTGCTGGAATCCTGGGGGCGGAACCCAGCCCCAGTCTGAGCCTTGAGTTTCCCGAGCAGGACACACCTGGGGTCCTACACCTGAGACTGGTATCCACAAGCCTTGAAAACTGGCTGGATGTTAACCTGATGCCGCCTCTGATGCCCTGGGTGAGGGGGTGCCTGCCCCATTCCAGGGCTGAGGACAAGATCATTAGGGGTAAGACAGGGCTCCCAGTTCTAGCCCTGCTACCAGCTTGCTGTGAGGCCCAGGCAGCCCTCTCTGGGCTTCAGTATCTTGACTAGATTTGACCCAGAGGGGCCAAGCGGGACCAGCTCCTTCTGGGTCTGTGGTCCTGGTGCCAAGATGCTTGGCCCTCACTCAAGCCACCGGGGAGAATTTCCTTCAGCCACCACCTAGAGCAGAGCTACTCAGCTCTTCCTTTTATACCTCAAAGGAGAAGGCAAATGGACATGTGCCTGGCAGCAGGGACACCGCCAGAATTCTGCAAAATCTTGCATTTTATCTTGAAAACATTAATGTGATTTTTGCATTCTCCTTCATAATATACCCATGCGTGATTTAATATAATAATATACCCCTGTGTCTGCATCTATAAAATGAGGATAATAATGGAACCATGGTAATCTCTCTTATAGAGTTGCTGGAAAGACCGTAATATGTTAGTACATGTTGATAGAATCCAGACCTGAGTACCGCCTTTTGAATATGCCCACCCACCATCTCAGAGAGACGTCATCTTCCCTAGGCTACAAGCATCCTCCAGAGGACACGTCAGCAAGCCACAAGCCCACCTTACCCCTCACCCACCCCCTCAAAGAGCCTGCCAAAAACCCTGGCCATAAAAAGCCTCTTGATGTGTTAGAGACCCTTTTCCTTTGTTCTGCTGGCCAGGACAGAGGGGGCCCTCTCAGGTTCAGCAATAAACCTGCTTGGACTATTGAGTTCGCAACCTCTTTTCTTTCGTCTCTCCCCTCTGTCCCTTTCACATGTAATGGACTTAGAGCCTGGTACATGCTAGGGCTGTATGTGTTTGCTCTTCTTATTTCTATTTTTTATTATTATTGATCATGATGCCCTGGGAGATAGCTCTCCTGAGTTTATCCAGGGTTATGAGGTCCTGGAAGACAGCCACACCCTCATGCCTAGTATATCCACCCTGTGGTACCCATGTATTAGTCCTAATAGCTACTACTTGTTAAATGCTTGACTATTCTTAGAGCAGGGTGGGCCGGTACCCCAGACAGGTGGAAAGCCCAGCCAGCACGTGGCCGTGCAGGCCAGGGGGCATGTGTGTGAGTGGACCCAGGGTGCTTGGCCAGGAGCCTAAGAGAGACGAGTAGTTTACTGATTTGGAAGTCCCCTCCTGGAATTCAGGACCCCATTCCCATCCCCAATGGGAACTTGCTATGAGAAAGCCCCTGGGAAAATGGGAAAAGTGAGAGCCTCTGATGAGTGTGCTCAGAACACAAGGGTTGCCACAGGAGGTGTGGAAGATGGGTTCAAAGGTCAGGGAAGTGGGTTTGCTCAGGCAGAGACACTGTATAAGCCAGAAAAGCCGAGAAGACACCTTTACTGAGGGCATAAGGACTAGACCAGAGAGAAGACCCACCCCCACTCAGAAGCTTGGGTGGCCTTGCCCCGTGGGAGACGCCGTCACAGGCTCCCTATTGGCGCTGGGGACAGTGGACACAGAAACAGCAGCTGTCACAAGACAACGCGCACTCCTCACGGGACCACAGCTCTCCTAGTGAGCAGCAGGGTCGGGGGCAGCCCGGAGGGCCTGACCCAACAAGAGTCAGGAAGCTGGTCATAAAACATGGTGTCCCTCAGGGCTGACTAGCTGGGCCAGAAACCAGAGACCTGCTCCCAGTCTGCACCATCAAAATCCCTCAAGGACAAATGTTAGGACACAGGGAACTTGCCCTCCAAAGGTCACCATCCCATTTCCAGTGGCTTCCCAGGGAACCTGCCTGTGGCATGTGACGACTAAATGTGAACATGGTCCTAGATGGGGGATGAGTCCTAGATGGGATAGGCGCTATGAAGAACAGCATTAGAATAACTGGTAAAATTTGAATATAAGAATATAGTATATGTGCTCTAAGAAATGATAGCATTTCATCAGTGTCAAAATTTTGAATCGGATCATTGCGCTGTGTTTATGTAATAAGATAGCCATGTTCTTAGGAGACAAGTAAGGAAGTATTTAGGAATAAAGAGGTCTGGGTGATGACATATCTCAGCAGGTTCATCAGTTGTAACAAATGTCTGCCTCTGGGGGGACGGCGTTGATAGTGAGGGGGTGGGATAAATGGGAAATCTTTGGGCCTGTTCAATTTTGCTATGAACCTAAAACTGCTATAAGAAACAAGTCTTTTTTAAAAAAGAGGGAAAGCTCACACTACCTTCAACATGCTTCCTAATGGCTCAGCAACAATGCAGGTAAGATGTAGGTATAGCGAGACACAGGCAGATGTGGTGAACTATTCGGAAGGAAGGATATAAGGGATTTCTTTGTATTCATCTTGCAAATTTTCTCAGTGCTTCAAATTATCTCAAAATAAATGTCTAAAAAATAATAAGTGAAGCATGGACTCTGGACTCAGGTAGTGCAGAGCTGGAACCTAGCCAAACAACTGACAAGCTGTGTGACCTTGGGCGAATCTTTCCACGTCTCTTGAGCCTCCATGTTCTCATCTAGAAAAGGAGCCTCATGACCCCTGCCTAGCCGGCCTCTAGGTACTGCAGGAAAAAGTCAGATAAGGGCAAAGAAGACCCTGAAGGGGCAGGTAATAGTCAAGATACTTTGGAGAAAGAGAACACATAGGGTGTACAGACCTCAATCCAGACCTAGGCAGAGATGCATGCTAAGGAATTGGTTGATGCTCTTCTGGAGGCTACCCAGTCCAAAATCTGCAGGGTAGGCTGGCACACTAGTGGCCAGGGAGGAGTTGATGGTGCAGTAGAGTTTGAAGGCATCTGGTGATGGAATTCTCTCTTCCTCAGAGGAGGTCAGTCTTTTTGCTATTGAGGCCTTCAACTGATTGGATGAGGCCCACCTACGCTATGGGAACTATTCTGCTTTATGCAAGTTTCCCGATTTAAATGTCAGTCCCATCTAAAAAGATGTAGATAGACATATGACCAAATATCTGGGTACCATGGCCCAGCCATGTTGACATACGACAGTAATTATAACAGCAGAGAAGGGCCCTGTTCTTCCCACACCTTAGAGGGGTTTGCCGTCTGTATTATTTATTATGCTAGATAGAGGCAGTCGGTAGGAGCCTTCTGAGAGTTTTGTTTCCAACAGCTCTGGATGCAGGAAATGCACCTCTGCCTTTCCTCTGGCCCGTGCACTCCTGGGCCTATTTTCTGGCCACGTTGGGTGGAGTAAATGCTGGGTGAGGTCCTGCAGGTGTCACATGAGCTGTGGAGCTGAGCACCAGAAGCCCCCACTTGCTGACCATTCCAGCACCTGTTTGCCCAGTGACAGAACTAAAATCCGAGCCCAGTTCAGCCCGTGCCTTGCTGTGTGTCCCTGAGCAAGCCAATCCCCTCTCTGGGTCTCTTTTTCCTCACTGCTTTCATTGACTCTGAGCTCCAGGCCACTGGGTACAGGGCAAAAGGGAAAGAGCCTGGGAAGCTGACCCGCGTCCCCTGTAAAATGTTACCTGCTCAATGAGGGTCCTGCTCTGAGCACTTTGCAGGTATTATTTTATCCCCATGTGAACCCTACGAGAAAGGTACTATTCTTATCTTCGTCTTACAGATGGGGAAATCAAGGCCATGCTGGGCAGCAGACGATGTGCTCAAGGATATGCACCGAGCATGTGCCAAGCCCTCAGAATCAGGCTCCAGGGCTGTGTCTTGAATCGTGAGAAGCTCACGCCCTCCCAGGAGCAGCTGGAAGGCTAAGGACCAGAATTGCAGGGCTGGGCACAACTCCAAGCCAAGGAAGCCAGCTGGCAATGCTCTGTGAGTTTCGATTTCCTGTCTCTCTCCGCATGTGAGTTTTGTTTTCAGGCTCCCCACGTGAGAGCTGCGCGTTCTCCTCTGCCTCCCGCCCTGCCATTAGCTGTCACCTCAGCAGCCAGCAGAAGCCATGGGCAACTGGGAGTCCCGTCTGTATTCAGTGCCTCCTCAGAAACTGGGTGAGTTTGTCCAGAACTCCCTGAGACCCTTTGAAGATTGTCAGAACAAGATCGACAAGACCGTGAACACCATCTGTGCTGTCCTGCAGGAAGCTGAGCAGTTCCCCCTGGTCATAAGTGTGGCTAAAGTGAGTACAGGGCTGGGGTCAGGACTTCTGGGAGCCAGGAGGCTCCACAGCTCCCGGAAGGCAGAGTGACTTAATGCTGAGCACCTACTGTGTGTCAGGCCCTGGGCGCATCATTTTGCCTCGCCACACTCAAGATGATGAGATGGTGTAAGGTTTAGAAGCACAGGCTGGGAAGCCAGCTCTGCCCCTTACTGCTGTGTGACCTGAGGCAGGTTGTTTGACCCCTCTGTGCTTCAGTCTCTGAATCCATAAAATGTGAGAGGAGTACGACCCATCTCAAAGTGTTATGAGGCTTAACTATGTAATGTTCTTAGTCCAGGGGCTGGTATATAGTTAGTGTTCAAAAACTAGCTGTGATCACTCACTGCGATTGTTTCTGTCCTTCCCATATTGCAGAGCAATGCTGAGGTTGGGTGAGTTTAATGAAACCACCCAAAGGCTGCTCTGTGGTTTCTCAACAGCAAGAGGGAGTGGCTCTCATCAGGTAGAAATGTTTCATGCTATGGGCACAAATCCCAGGGCTGATGCTGAAGATTCTGGGCCTTTGGAGAGGAATGGGCCCTGGGAGCGTGCCAGGACCCTAGGGTCAGGAGGGGTTAGGGATCCCCCTCTCCACCCTCATGGTCTCCAGCCAAGGCCACAGTGCTCTGACTGCTGCCCTACACACACGCACTAGCCTCAGCAGCAGAGGTGCCTGGGCACTCCAGATCTCCCTGTGGGGGCCCAGATGAGGAAACTGAGGCATGGGGAAGTTGTTTCACAGCTGGCACCAGAGCTGGGATTTTAGCTCGGGTAAGGATGGGAAGACATGCCCTTAACCACTATGCCATCCTGCCTCTGCTATTGTTAACTTTTTTCTCATGAAAATAAAACATACAAAAATAACGGTGCAGGGATCTAATCACACAGCCTGATGGATTGCCACAAACATACATGCGCAACCTACATCCAGATAGAGAACTGAAACATTTCCAGCCCCTAAGAGCCCCCAGGCCCCCTGTCCAGTCACTACCCCAACCCTCAACTACTCTCCTGACTTCTAACAGAAGATTTGTTTTGCTGGTTTTTAAAATTTGCATAAATGTAGGGTGATCAACCATCCCTGTTTGTCTAGGATTGAGGGGTTTTCTGGGACCTGGACCTTCCCGTGCTAAAACTGAGAAAGCCTCCAGTAAACCAGACAGGTTTAATGAAATCACGCACTGTGTGGCTTCAGTGTGTGGCTTCCTTGGCCCATCCTGCTTATGAAACTTATGTTGTCGTGAGCAGGCATTTCGCTGCTGTATAGTGTACCATTGTGCGAATACACATATCCGTCCATTCGATTGCTGATGGTCATCTGAGTTACCTCCAGTTTGGGGCTATTAGGAAGACAACTGCTATGCACATCCTGATTCAGTTTTGGGGTGGACAAATGGACGCCTGCCACTCAAGTTTAAGGCTATGATGACAATTGTGTCTCTTACTTGAGTTGACAAATACTACTGCCTCCTGAGGTACCCTGTGACCCCAAATATTCCAGGGTCTCACATCTGCTTCTCTGTTGTTGGCAGGGTGGCTCCTATGGCAGGAAAACGGTCTTAAGGGGCAACTCCGATGGTACCCTCGTTGTCTTCGCCAGTGACTTTGAGCAATTCCAGGATCAGACAAAAAGCCCATCTGAAATCCTCCACAAAATCCGGGACGTGCTGAGAGTCTGGCAGCTCACAACGGAGTTGGCAGCCCAGGTGGAGGTCCAGATGGTCAGTGGTACGCTCACCATCCAGCTGTCCACAAAGAGGCAGAGCATCACTTTCAAGGTGCTGCCTGCCTTCAATGCTCTGGGTGAGTGCTCCTGGGGGTGCGGGGCGTTCAGGTCTGGGGAGGCGTGTGGAGAGAGCAAAGCCAAAGGGGTGGCAGACAGCTATGTGGGTCCCCTACGCTGAGACGGGCAGATAGCCCTGGTGCTTTCCAAAGTGGGGGTTCCTTCCTACCCAGGGCTTGCTCTCACCTCTAGAACTCTTCTACCCTCCCCTGACTGACTCCAGAGAAAATGTTCTGGACCCTGGAGTCTAAATCAGAGCTTCTCCAACTATGATGTGCGCACAGATCACCAGGGAACCTTGTTCAAATGCAGGCTCCGATTTAGGAGATCCGGGGCGGGGCCCAGGGTTTTGTATTTCTCACCAGCTCCGTGATGCTGCTTCTGGTCTATGGGCCCCACTTGGGGATTTAGACTCGAATAAACGTTGGTTAGAGGAAGAAGATGGGGCAAACATCTGGGGGAGGTCAGCTGGTGCAAGCATGGGGAGTTCGCCTTCTGACCAGGTCAATATCAAGGCAAGGACTTTTCATGGGTGACCAGTGGGGTGAATGGATGGATGATTGGATGGATGGATGAGACTCAGCATAGTTACAGATGAGTCTCAAGCACAGGTACATGTATAATCACAAATGTAAATGACAGAGCTGAAATTCAACCCCTTATTGAACAAACACGAAAGGAAAGGAATGTCCTCAGGGTCACGTAGCCAGTTACTGGGCAGAACTAGAATGAGAGCCCAGGTCTTCTGAGCCCCAGGCCAGGAGGCCTCTAAGGTGGAGACACACGCGTACCTTGATGACTCGCACTCACAGAAAGGTGACCTAGTTCAGAGAAAAATCTGCCAGTTTGGAAGGTAGGCAGCCCAGAGTTCTTATCCTGGTCCCATTACTTAACCACTTTTGTCAACTATAAGATCAGACTTGTAACAGCTAGCTTGCAGAGCCTTCTGGACAATAAGGGTTGAGAGTATCTGTGTCCCTGCTTCAAACAAGGGCTGGAGTCAAGGTGATGAGACACAGTGTGACTCAGGATTCTCAGGAAATCCTACATTCTCTCCTCTTGTTCAGAGCAAGGTAGTTGGGGACCAGGCCAGAGTGCCCTCTGCTGGTTCACCCCATCGCGCAAGGACAGTGTAAGAACCAGAAACACGCTCTTTGCACGTGGTATCCAGAAGCTGCCACCAGATGGTGGAAGAGCTATACATTCTAAACTAACATCCCTTTCTAGAAGGACACACTAATGGTTGCTTCCTGAGAAAAGTAGTAACCCACTGGGGAATTCTGAACTTACTTTCTTTACAAAACATTAGCCCAACTAATCTGGTGTACTCTCCATGCCAGCTCCAGGCCAATTTCCTTCCACTCTACGTCTCTTCCCACAGCTCTGTACCACCACTGCTCTCTCCCCACGGTCTTTGATTCAAAACACCACTCTTCTATAGACTTTCTGGTGTGTAAATTAGCAGCTGATTGCACTGACCACATCAGAGTTTTGTGAGGCTTGCATATTCCACTGCACATGATGGGCTTAAGCTGTGCCTGCACTAGAGGAAGCACTCACAGATGTCAGCTATACTGTTACAGTCGTTGACAAGGATGGAAGCTCTTTCCCTCAACCTCCTTTCATGCTCTGTGCCCAGAACCACACCCACTCATGGTAGGAGGTCAGTAAATGCATGTCTGGGTGAATGAAAAGCACAAGCCAGCCACGTGTCAAGTTTGTACACGGAGGTGCTCAGCCAGCAAGAATGGAAACCCTTTCATTAAATTCTGTGACCTGTTGACATCTCTCCTGCTGCATTTACTTCCTTGCCTCACATCAGGGATTGTTTCTCAAACTCTAGTGGGTATCAGAATCACCCAGGAAACTTAGAAAAAAATACAGAGGCCTGAACTCTCTCCACTTAGGTATCAGATCTCCTGCCAAGCCCACCATGTGCACTGGCATGGGTGGTCCCAGCTTAGCTGTGCAGCAGGATTCTGCTAGGCAACCCAGTTTGGGAACCACTGCCCTGCCTCACCCCATCACACAGGGTCCAGCTCTGTGGAGCATGTGCCTGCCCATAACCTCCATCTCCAGCCTCCAGGGCCCTGCTTTACCTGGCCCGCCTCCTCAGAGTACTTGTACCCTTGATTCTCTGAAATAGAACGTTCACTGGATGGGCTCCGTAATAGCAGAATATATTGCATGTGATATAGAAACTTTATTTTCTTCCAGCTCTGTGCCAACTGTGCCAACACCATGTTTTAAAGAAGCTGTCCTTTCCCTACTAATTTGGAACTCCCCCTTTTATTATTTATGATTGTGCTTCCTGTCCCTCCATTTGGTTCTGCTGATCTGGTCTTAGGTCAGCACCATCCCATTTTCTCGATAGTCATTTTAGACTTCATGTTATTATCTAGCAAGGGAAGCCAGCTCGTAGCTTTTATTACATACCCCAGTCCCCTTAAACATTAAGCAATTGATGTGTGCTATCAAACCACACTGGACCCTCATTGTTGACTCTCTGAGACCAGATTACATGAATACCGGAAATTCTGTTTCACAACAGGCTTGAGCGACAAGCCCAGCACCTGGACCTATTTAGAGCTCAAAAGAGCCTTGGATCAGACACACTCTAACCCCGGTGAGTTCTCCGTCTGCTTCACAGAACTCCAGCAGAAGTTTTTTAAAAACCACCCCAGAAAACTGAAGGATTTGATCCTCTTGGTAAAGTACTGGTATGAACAGGTAACTTTCAAATTGTTTATCTAGTGCTATCATCCATTTCCTTCCTACTGAGATTATTTACATCTAGTAAAGTAAAACTATGTTATGTATACAGCTCAGTACATTTTTATATCCCTTTAAGCAACATTCAGATCAAAACTGGACACATTCCTTCACCCTAGTCACTGCCTCAAGTCCCCTCCCAGTTAATACTCCCCCCAAGCAAACCACTATCGAACATTTGTCACCGCAAATTAGCTTGGCTTGTTTTTGAACTTGTCAGTGGAATCATCTGCCTTCTTTTGCCCAACATTATGTCTGAGAGATTTGTGCGTGTCATTGTGCTGGGGCCTGGGTTTTCACTGTTTTGTAATTGTGTTAATACACTATGCATTTATCTATTCTGTCAAAGGACATTTGGGTCTTTTCCAAAGTGGGGTTATTATGAATGAAGTTACTACAGATATTCCCCTACATGCCTTTTTGTGAATTTAAGCACTCATTTCTCTTGGGTAAATATGCACAAGTAGAACTGCTAGCTTATGAGGTGTATGAATATGAACATGTATGTATATGTGCATATACCTACACACGACATATTTGTATATATATGTGCATGTAATATATAAAGTATGTATAAAATGTTTATATTTTATAAATATAGATATATATTAAATATTTAGATTATCTATATATATATATATTTTTTTTTTAACTTTGGCAAATACTTCTAATAGCTTTCCCAAATGTTGTACTTACTTGCACTCCCATCAGCAATGTATTATAGTTTCAGGTGCTCTACATCTTTGTCAACACTTGATAGTGTCAGTCCATTGAATTTTAGGCATTATATCATATTAGTCACTGCTGGAAGGGCAGTGACTTCCTATAGACTTCTGGTTTCTTGATTTCAGACTCTTGGCATGGGAGGACCTGGGTTCCCAAGTTCACCATTGCCCCTTTCTTCTACAGTGCCAGGAAAAGCTGAAATATGCACCTCTGCCACCTGTGTATGCTCTGGAGCTGCTTACAGTCTACGCCTGGGAACAGGGTTGCAGAACAGAAGACTTTGATATAGTTGAAGGCATCCGGACTGTTCTGGGGCTAATCCTGCAGCAGGAGCAGCTGTGTGTCTATTGGGTCATCAACTACAACTTCGAGAATGTGACCATCCGGAACATCCTGCTGAGCCAGCTCCGATCATCGAGGTATGAACTTGCCATGCTCCCCTCTTTACCTGTTCATCTGCAAGCCAGGCTGCCCTCCCGTAGAATAAGGTTCAGCCTGTCCTTGCCAGCCAAGGATGTGCCAAAAGAATGCCAGTGGCAGTGGGTGGGAGGTGAGGGGAGGACTGCCTGAAAGAGGGAATCCTGGCCAGTGTGCTTCACATACCAAAGGTCATGACATTTTGTCTGCTAAACAGACACTTGGGAGATGATTCCCCTTATAGAAGGATGGGGCTAAGAGAGATGAAGGGGTTGGCAGGAAGAGGAGATCATTTTATTATGTTATGAATGGAGTATCTCTGTAAAGCCAAGAACAGAGGACCAGAGTAGCTAGGTGTCTTCAGCAAAGCCCTTCAGCAATCGAGAGGAACCTCAGGACTTAGAATCCAAGTTACCAAATGCCCAGTCCAGGCCTTTCCCTCAAACTGATTTCTTCTCCCACAAGCAGGTCAAATGATTTTTTTTAAATCTAATGGGATGTTATAGGCCAGTAATCCTGGATCCAGCAGACCCAACCAATAATGTGAGCAAAGATAAGATGTGCTGGCAACTGCTAAAAGAAGAAGCTCGAATCTGGTTGTCTTCCTCTGGTCTGAATGAGTCACCCGGACTATCCTGGAATGTTCTGGTGAGAGAGCTTTCCAAATATAGCTCTAGGCATGCTGCAGGGTGGGCCTCTGGAAGCCAGGGTACACTGTGTACTGTTTCCCTGGGATGGCCGCGACAAAGTGCCAAGCACTGATGGCCTAAAGCAACACAAGGGGATTTTCTCACAGGTCTGGTGGCTATAAGTCCAAGATCAAGGTGCTGGCGGGCTGTGCTCCCTCTGAAGACTCTCTCTGGGGGAGGAGCCCCCCTTGCCTCTTCCAGCCTCTGGTGGTGGCCAGCAGTCCTTGGCTTGCAGCAGCGTCATCCTAATCTCTGCCTCTGTTGTCACATGACCTTCTTTCCTGAGTCTTCACAATGTCTTCCCTCCATGAGTGTCTGTCTCTGTCCTCTTATAAGGATACCAGTCACATTGGATTAGGACCTACCCTAATGCCCTCATCTTAACTTGATTATGGCACAAAGACCCTATGTCCAAATAAGATCACATTCACTGGAGCTAGGGACTTGAACATATCTTTTAGGGGTACACAATTCTACCCATAACATGCCATCAGAAGCCTCGCCTTCCATTAAAGTGATGGTGAAGTGCAAAATTAAACAAAGAGAAAGGTTGGGGGTGGGGTGCCACCAGCAGATGAGAATTCGATTCGTTTCTGCAAGAGAGAGAGCCGGCAAGAGGTGGTGGCATATAAAACGGAGCAGAGTGCAAGGGAAATGGGTGGCAGTCAGCCCCGCAGATGCCAGGACCGCTCTGAGCTCCATTCAAGCAGGTGTGTTGGGCAGGAATGACAAGTGGGGCTGGAATCTGGAGCAAGGGGCTGGCTGTGAGACAGATGCACTGGCCTTCCCTCCACATCTGCCAGAGGGAAAGCAAGTCGGCTGACGCGGCCTGCGCTACTCCCAGGGCTCATCAGAGCACAGCCCGAGTAGGACAGATTCTCAGGCTAGACATGGGGACCGACGTGACTTTTCTGAGGGTCATGGTAGGGAGGGGTGTGTGTAGCCAATGCACCATCTGAGGCCAGACATGTTAACCAAATTCCACATTTCACAGACACAGGACTAATGCATATCTAGATTACGGGAGGTAGGGATATACATTTCAATTACACTGAAATCTGAGGGCCGATTGAGCAAAGACCTGGGATGCAGTGAGGCTGTAAATGAGCTATCAAATTCCTGGGCCTGGAAGTGAAGAGGCCTGTGGGGCGGGCAGGTTCTGAGTCCAGGAAGACCCTTAGGACGGCGCTGGATCCACCCAGGCTGTCCAGGATGATCCCCCATCTCCCAATCCTTAATTTGATCACATCAGCAAAGTCCCACTTCCATACAAGGGAATGCATTCACAGGTTCCAGGGCTTCGGATGTGGGCATTTGAAGGGGCGAGTGTGTCCCTGTCTACCCACCACAGCAGCAAGCATACGGCCTCTGTAGACAGGCCTGCAGGGGAGGTCACCTCTGAGCAGGTGGCAGGGAGCTGAGCAGAGTCTCAGGAGGGGGGTCATGGCCTGTGGTACATGGGCAGCCCCCACCATCTGAGCTTTGCTCCTGAAGGGTAGAGAACTGTATGTCTGGGCGTGTGTCACACCCCATTTAGAAATCAGAGTATGGTTTCTTCCCAGACAGGACCACATGTGCAGGGAAGGGAACAGGTCCCACCCTCCATGGTCCCAAATGATTAGAGAGCAGAGAACTGTCCTTTCTGACTGAACACACAGCACCTCCACGCTGATCCCAGGCAGCCCTCTCTCCAGCATCCTCACAACCCTGGTGTAGAGGATTGACTAGTGTCCCCAAACTCATGTCCACTAGGATGCTCAGAATGTGACCTTCTTTAGACATAGGGTCTTGGTAGGTGCCACTTAGTCACAATGAGGTTGGTCATCCTGGGTTAGCACGGGCCCTGAACGCAGTAACTGGTGTCCTTTTAAAAAGACGCATGGAGACAGACACACACGGAGAAGGCTATGTGACAACGTGGCAGTGATGGGAGGGACGGAGCCACAAGCATTGGGAGGCCAAGGGCTGCTCGAGCCACTGGGAGCAGGAAGGCACAGGAAGCCTCCCCCGTGGAGCCTTCATAGGGAGCACAGCCCTGCTGCCGCCGTGATTTCAGACTTCCGGTCTCCAAACCATGGTTGTAATTTGCTACAGAGGCCCTGGGAAACCAGTGCACCCAGGCACAGTGTGGTTAAGAAAGGCTGATAGAACCTGGGAAAGGAGTGTGATCATCCGAAATCCGCAGCCTGCAGTAAAGGGGAAAATAAGGGCCAGGGAAGCTGGAGAAGCTGAAGAGCGCTGGTCAATAGTAGATGCTGCCATAGCTGGAAGTAGAAATCAGCCAGCAGGTTGGATCTGGGGCCATCATAAACCCAGCCAGAGAAGGGTCACAGCTGTCTTGGGGGGCAAGGAGCAACCGGGAGAGGTTTTGTTTGTGGGGGTCTGCTCCCACAATTTTCAGGTATGCTCTGGGGATCTGAATGCAAGAAGTGAAGGTGGCAACGGCCAGCAGGAGGACTGGAGGACAGGAGGGAGTGGTGGGGGGTGGGGTGGAGGGCCCAGACCAGAAGGGAACACGGCCCGGCTGCTCACAGCAGGCGCGTCCCCCTCCACAGCCAGCACCGCTCTACACCACCCCTGGCCATCTTCTGGATAAGTTCATCAAGGACTTTCTCCAGCCCAACAAAATCTTCCTAGAGCAGATCGAGAGGGCTGTTAAAATCATCCGTACGTTCCTTCAACATAATTGCTTTCAACATTCGACTACGAAGATTCAGAAGATTGTCCAGGTGAGTGCTGGCCCTCCCCTTGAGGGGTATTACTGGCAGGGAGCTAAGAAGCTGGGGAGCTCTGCCAGGCTGTGTCCCACCAGAGGCCTGGGGCAAAGCAGGAGGGAGGCGGGAGATGGGCGAGGAGGACGCAGGTGCTCAGTGCTGGGAGCCCGGGCCCCGCCCACGCCAGTACATTAGCAACTTCCGGTTGTGCGCTCCCTTCCGAGGGCTGCTGGCGTCCTGGCTGGGTCTGGGCTTGTGGCTGCACCACTCAGACCTCTGCCTCTGTCTGCCCATCCTCTGTGTCTCCTCCCTTTCTCTTCTCTTCTGAGAACAACCGTCTTTGGATTTAGGACCCACAGACCCCTAACTCAGTTACCTCTACATGGACCCCTTTTCCAAATAAGTTCCCATTCACACGTTCCCAGCAGACATATCTTTCGGGAGCCACCATTCAAATGACTGCAGATTCTAAGCTCTGTGTATACTGAACCACAAAGTGACCTCTTTCTTGCTTCAATGACCAGAGCCTGATTCGTCCTGCCAACCAAGCTAGAGATCCAGCAGCTTTGGCCGTTCTTGTCCACGGCTCAAATGTCAGAGACTGACACACTGCCCTTCATCTGTTGGCCCCCCTCCAGATCACTGTGTGCCCCTGGTCACAAGGAGGCAGGGAGGAAAATGCTGACTTGTGCGCTAGGACAGGGTGTGTGTGTGTGTGTGTGTGTGTGTGTGTGCGCACGCAACACTAAGGTGGTATGGGAACCAGTGTGTGTGTGTGTGTGTGTGTGTGTGTGTGTGTGTGTGTGTGTGTGTGTGTGCACGCAACACTAAGGTGGTATGGGAACCAGTACCAATATCCCATGGGTGTTGAGCAAAGTTCCACTGAGATTAACTGGACTGAAAACAAGGCAAATTCATGGTCAATGTTAGAATTGTCAGACCTCCCGTTTCCTTCCTAAGACCCCCATTAATGATAGTAAATAAATAAGAAAAGGTATGATGACACACTGAAGAAGAAAATGGGAAGAGAACCCTTGGCGGAAAACAGGTTGCTTTTTATCTCCTGAAGTTGGTTGCAAGCTGGAAAGGGTTGTCTGCTGGGGGGACTGGAAAGGCGCCCCCCCCCCCGGGGAATGTGAGGAGGGGTGTGTGGCCAGGGAGGAGTCAGTGAAGGCCAGGCCAGCAGGCCAGCTGTGTGACTAGAGGGGGCTGGGATGGGGATTAACTGAGCACCTGTATATAGGACACAGAACACCCTCCCCTCGCCCCAAGCCTATGTAGCCAGGCATTTACTACTATGGGTAAAATAAACATTTGCTCTACAGAAATCAGATGAGCCTTCTGGGGACAACCAGGACAACAGGTGTGAGCGTTGGTGCTCAGAGCAAAGCCCAGCACACTGTGGCATTAGGACGGTCCTCTGGTGGCAGCTGGCTCCCCCCCGCTAGCCCCCAAAGAAACCCATTAGCCAAGGAGCTCAGCCTACAGGCAGAGCTCCCCAAAAGAAACAGAATGAGTCTGAATCCTGCATAGGCTGCCTCATGCAGGAGTTGCCCAACCAGGGCCAGCGAGCTATGAATGGTTTTGACATTTTTACGGAGTTGGAGAAGGGGAAGAGGGAGGAACAAGAAGAAGGGAAGACGTGGAAAAGCAGACGTGGCAGAAACATACACAGCCCACAAAGGCTAAAATGTTTACCACCTGACCCTTTTCAGAAAGTTCGCCGACCCCTGTACCTAAGCATGAATACCCAGCTATCCAACTATGAATCTGACATACCTAACTATGAATACCTAGACTATCATCCAGTGATCCCTGGACTGCAAGAGGGAATGGACGAATCATGGAATAGATGAGAATGTCCAACGTGATTGCATCCACTTTGATTCATTTCAGGTCCCCAGGACTCAAACAAAGCTCAGTACTCTTTAGGAGAAATGTGTAAGAATTTGGCTTGAGAAGTGGGTAATCTGTAACTAACACCTCAGTAACAACTCAGTTACAACAACTTGTGTGTAAACAAGCCCATCAGGGGCGTGAGATAACCACCTTTGGGTCCATATGATTTTGTTGGTTTGACTTGGGATGCAGCCCTAACTGGACCCTAACTTGGAAGTATGTCATTAATCAGCCCAATGCGTGCCAGCTGACGGGGGTCGGGATCGTGGTCTAGAAAATACTGTATCTCAGCTTGCCTCACCTCACTAGGGAGGGTCAACCGCCAAGGGCACAGCTCTGAAGAACGGCTCGGACGCCGACCTTGTCGTGTTCCCAGACTGGCTGAATAGCTACACCTCCCAAAAAAATGAGAGATCCAGAGTCATCAGAGAAATACATAAACAGCTGCAAGCCTGTCAGCAGAAGCTGGATTTGGAAGTGAAGTTTGAGATTTCAAAATGGAAGGCTCCCAGGGTGCTGAGCTTCTCACTGAAATCCAAAGTACTCAACGAAAGCATTGACTTTGATGTCCTGCCTGCCTTTAATGTGTTAGGTAAGACCCCCGAGGCCTTAGCATCTGGAGGAGGGAGACAGATTCGAGAGTGGTGGTGGGAGGGTGGGAGGGGAAGCCAAGTGACTTAGTAATGGGCTGTGGGTCCAGTGTCCCCAGCAGGTGGCATTAATCATGGCAGCAACGCCTTACACCTGCATACATGTTCATCCTCATTCCACATTTATGTATTCCGAGGATGCCCAGGACCCATACATATCTTACATTCCCATGGTATCATTCACCATATTTATCAAAGAATGGGGTACACAGGAGTTCTATACACACTTACAAATAAAATGCCTTCAGTCCCCAGTGAAGGAAAGTAAAGAGCAGACTGTGGGGAGAATTCTGACACAAGGACAGGAAATCTGGGCATTCACCTTCACTCTTAGGCAGAAATCTCCTTTAGAAATTCAGTTCATGAGTGACAGATACATAATGGTATATTAAGAGAAACCAGGGCTAGTGCAGGCATTTCCCAAATCCAAATCAAGGAGACTCTGGTACCTTCCCTCTGAATGGTTCTTAGCATCTCTAGAAAGAAAATAACAGTATAGATTGGGGGTTGGCTAACTTTTTTTTTGGTAAAAGGCAAATAACAAATGCTTTCTTCTTTGAGGACTATATGACATCTGTTACAACTCTTCAACCCTGTCACTGTAGAAAGCAGCAGAGACAATACCTTAACAGGCAGGGCAGTGTTCCAACAACTTCACTTACAAAAACGAGAAGTGGGCTGGATTTAGCCTGCCATAATTAGCAAATTCCCAATCAGCATTACAGGTCTTTCTGTGGTCATGGGAATATTCTATTTCTCTGCTCTGTTACCTATTGAGAGTTTGAAATGTGGTCGTGTGACTGAATTTTTTATTTTATTTCCCTTTATTAATTTGAGTGCAAAAAGCCACTTTGGCTGGTGGCTACCATATGGGACAGTGCAAATCTAGATAATACTTAAATAATACCACCTATACTCATCTAGACCATACAATTTTAAAAAAATATCTCATTACTCTGGAGATGCTCCCAATATCTTAGACACTGGCAATCCAAACACACTAATAGAGTTTAAAGTAATCTCCCAGGATTAATTATTTGTCAAAGATGTTTCAAAACCTTACTGTCTATACATATTAAGGTGTAACGTAAATATCTCCCCATGCTAGGCCACAAGAATTCCCACACTGCCCCCAGCCCCAGTGTCTATTCTGAGCACATCAATCTGTACAGCTCCTCAGATGCCCTGGGGGGAGAATTTTCTACCTGCTTCACGGAGCTGCAGCGCGACTTTGTTCTTTCCCGGCTCACAAAACTGAAGGATTTAATTCGCCTGGTGAAGCACTGGTACAGACAGGTATGACAGGCCTTATTCCAGCCCTCTGGTTACTGTGTTACCAGTGACCATTAACTGTCACCATTAAACTGGCAAGTCAAGGACTCTGTGTACCCATGTTCTCCCATGCTGGCGGCTGAGTCACTCTAGGGCATCTGCCCACTCCTTAATCCCAAGTGTCTGTAGGTTTCCCATCACTAACCCCATGAGGCTGGGTCAGGCATAGAGCACCTCCTACCATCCAAGCTGCTGCATGTGGTTTATTTTGCATTTGCTCTGACACCCGGTGAGTCTGCAGGAATTCAAGCTATCCTGCCTACAAGGGACAGACAGAGCTGGGGTTTGCATGCCTGTAAATCACCAGCATGGCTCACCTGCTGCTCAGTGTCCCTAATTAACAGACACAGATGCATCTCTGGGAAGGCAGGTCAAGGCTACAGGTGAGACCAGGGACTGCATTTTCTAGATCTGTTTGCTTCCATCAACTGTCTTATACACAGGATAGTTTCTGCATATTTTCACGGCAGCAAACATCTGGCACAATACCAGTTCTTTCCTAAGTGGTCTCCTTTCTGTGTCCAGCTCCCTGAAGCCTGAGCTGGAGGCTGAGCCTGTGGTTTCCATCCCAGAAAATCAGAGAAATGGCTTGACACTCAGCCCCTGAGCACTGCAGGGCTCAGAGCTACCACGTGACCTTGAGCAAGCCACTTCACTCCCCAAGCCTCCATCTTCATCTAAGACAGCCATCCATGCCAGCTTATAGGGTTGCAGAGGATTAGAAATGGCATAGGTAAACAGCCCCACAATTAGCACATGGTGGATTTTTGTTAAATGGTGGCTATAGTATAACTCTAGGAAGTCATATATGGCTTCCTAGAAACCTGCATGTGCCTCGTACAAGCTGCTGATTGAGTCCCTGCAGATGTGCACTGCTCAGACCTCCACCAGCCGACCAGCCCCACCAGCATGGCACCTCGTGGGCCAGTGGTCCTGCTGCAGCACTCACAGTCAGGAATGCGCCATCTCTGCAGCTCTCAGGGGGCTGGTGGTGCCTCCCTCCTCTAACCAGTATTGTCTGATGTTCCCACTCTCCCTTCAGTGTGAAAAGAAATTAAAGCAGAAGGGGAATCTACCCCCAAAGTATGCCCTGGAGCTGCTCACCATCTATGCCTGGGAGCAGGGCAGTGGCACCACGAATTTTAACACCGCTGAAGGTTTCCGTACGGTCCTGGAATTGATCACAAAATACCAGCAGCTCTGCATCTTCTGGACGGTCAATTACAACTTGGAAGATGAGACAATGAGGAACTTCCCACTGACCCAGATCCAGAGAACCAGGTGCCTCCCACCCAGCCCCTCCTTTTCTCCATCTGCTTCCCTCCAACATAATTCCAACAACCCGGCTTCACTTCTCTGGGGTCGTGATTCATTATTCTCATGGGAACCTTTTTGGGAGGTGGGCAGTACCCAGCAGTCCCCCATGGCCTCCAGTGCCACCATCCTTGGGAAGCAGGAGACAATACCATCTAGAAGAAGAGGACGCAGATACCAGGTCCGTGACTTGCCTTCATCTTTCTCTGTCGCAAGGGAAAGCACGGATTCATTAGCAGGCCTACGAGACACGCAGGTTGGAAGCGTGTCCCTGAGAAACGATGCCAGCATTCACGGCTGATATCCTACAGGGTTTTCTATCAGGTCAGGTTTTCTCTGCCCTCTCAGGCCTGCATCCCGCCAAGCCTGTGTAGCCTCCAAGGAGGGCGAGGAATCTTAGTGCACCTGCTCAGCACCACCAGCAGGGGGCAGAAGCAAGGGACACAAAAGAAGAGGAGACGAAAGGAGGCTTGAGGAGGAAGAGGGAGAAGTGGGTTGCCTCCCATGGGGGTGGCCTGCTTGACATTAGAGTGGGTTAAATTACATATCATATTTCAGTTGGTCTGAATGGAGATGTTTATATTTTGCATTCATATGTACAATAGTTATATATAACTCTTACATATATTATATAACTATTTTATATACATATATAAAATAGCTTACAAAACATTTTTTTATACTATTCACTTGCTTTTTTTTTATTAGGTATCATAGATATACAATCTTATGCTCAGGTTTCACATGAGCAACACTGTGGTTACTACATTCCCCCCTATTATCAAGTCCCCCCCCACATACCCCATTAGTCAGTCACTGTGCATCAGCGTAGTAAAATGCTATAGAATCACTACTTGTCTTCTCTGTGTTGTACTGCTTTCCCCGTGCACCCCCCCACATTATGCATGCTAATTGTAATGCCCCTTTTTCCCCCTTATCCCTCCCTTCCCACCCACCCTCCCCAGTTCCTTTCCCCAACTGTTAGTCCACTCTTGGGTCCTGTGAGTCTGCTGCTGTTTTGTTCCTTCAGCTTTTGCTTTGTTCTTATAGTCCACATAGGAGTGAAATCGTTTGGTACTTGTCTTTCTCTGCCTGGCTTATTTCAAGGATACTGCTTTATTGCTGAGGGTAGAATGGACCCCCGGTGTCTGAAAAAGTGTCTCTTTAATGCCTCTAACCCTCATTTAGGCCTGTGATCTTGGACCCAGCCGAACCTACTGGTGACGTGGGTGGAGGGGACCGTTGGTGTTGGCATCTTCTAGCAAAAGAAGCTACCGAATGGATGTCCTCTCTGTGCTTCAAAGATGGGACTGGAGAACCTGTTCAAGCATGGAAAGTGCCAGTAAGAATAATCTAAAGGAAGTGCCATCTGGAGTTGGCCCCATGCCAGGCTTAAATCAAAGTGCTCCTCCCACTGTAGCAATTTAGAATTCACTCAGCTGCAAATCACAGATAGCCCCGCTCAGCAGCTTAAACAACTGCTTTTTCTTTCCATTACCAGACATCCCAAGGCAGGCAATCCAGGACCCACGCAATAGCTCCCTCGTGCTTTCTCCCACCGTTGCTCCCACCGAAGCACTACTGACATTCAGGGTGGATAGTTCCTTTAGTTGGGGCTCTCCTGGGCAGGGCAGGCCCACCAGAGGCCAGGAGCACCCCCAGCATGACAACCAATTTCTCTAGACATTGCCAAATGTCCCCAGGGACACAGTCATCCCCAGCTCTTTCTGGCTCTGTCTTCTTTAGTTGTTGATTTTAGTCCGCACAGCATTGTACCTCCAGGTGGTGGGTTCATGGTCAAGGCAGGAAGAAGAGAACGGGGAAGATACCTCCCCAGGGGCTCCTCTTAGCAGCCTCCTCCAGCAATTCACTTACATTTCATCGCCCAGAATGGTCATGTGGCGGCTACCTGTAACTTCAGAGTGGCTCCAGAGAGGCAGGTGAGGATGAGTAGATGGGAGGTAGGTTGGCCAACCAAGAACATCTGCCACACCTGTCCAAACCTCCACCTCCTATCACAATACCTGCCACCAGGTGGGCTTGGCTCCCCCAACAAGTTCTTTCTAAGCACAGTTTCTCAGCCTCGGCAGCTATTGACATTCTGGCCAGATAATTCTTTGCTGTGGAGGCTGTACCCTGCGTTAGAGGATGTTTGACCAAGTCCCAAGGCTCTTCCCACGAGAGGCCACCCAGTAGTGACAGTCAGAAATATCTCAAGGCATTGCCTCTGACCCACTGGGAGCAAAATCATCCCTGACTGAGACCCTGCTCTCGAGGACACCCCGCCCACTCCAGACTCAGTTTTAGTTATCAAAATCTCCATTACCAACAAGTACCAAAAATGTGTCCCTGGTAATGGTTACCCTTTCAGATACATTATTTTTCTCCTGATTCTTTTTAACCAATAGTTTCTCCTGCTTAGCTTCAACTGTTTATGCTTGCACACATATTTCTTTCTTTCTAGACAGTGCAGACACCAGGAAGTTGTGGAGCTGGGATGTATCCTATTACCCAAGAGATGTTCTCATTCAGAATTTGTAGAACCCTGGAATAATAATGCTAGAAGAAACCGCTAACGGTTATCTTGCAGTTGCTTTTAAAGAATCAGTTCACTGCACAAGAGTGACCCAGATATGGCCTTCTCTTGACCATCCCCACCACTCCTTCCTTCCTTCCTTCTTCGGCTCCTCTTGAAATGAAGACCACCGAGTCCTTCCAAAAGTCTCTCCTTGCTGAACTGTTGCTCTCCGAGTGACCTACCTTATCAAAAATATCTGCTCTCATGCAGCCTTATGTACTCTGTATGTCTGTGGTCACTCAGTATTTTTCCAATGAGCTCCTTCCCTTTCCTTCAAGGCACAGAAGAGAGATCTCTCTAGACTCCCAAAGTGAAGCCCTTTACCGGCCCCGGGGCTCACATGACTCCAGGGCCTCACTCTCACACTCCGCTGGCCCACCCACACCCTGTCTGTTTCTCCCCATATGCAGAAGCCCGTCTGCCTCTGCAGACCTGAAGGTCTCCTAAACCAGTCGTGACCCAACCTCTCCTTAGACCTTCAAATTCTTGGATTATAACTGTTTCCTGGTATTTATATTAGCCTGTTGTCTTTTCCATCTGAGCCTACCTTTTTTCCCCCACACATGAATGTCTTTTTGCCAAGTCTAAAGGTTTTATCCTCTGGCATTAGCTTCAGAGATACTCGAATGTCTAAGGTTTTAACCTCTACTTATATGTCTACTGATATATCTACTTACATGTCTACTGAGTTTTATTACTGATGCATATGCCAACAGTCATATAATAAAGAATGTATCTGGTTTTTATCCCCAGTTCACGGCCCACAGCTCCAAAAACCCTTGGAAATTCCTGATAGGGAAACCTTTTGTATTCATAAGCAGCCCCTCCAACCACCTTGCATTTATGCCAGTGAGGTTTGGGCCCTTAGGTAGTTTAAGGGAGGAATTGGCCATGCCAGAAATGCCAAGCCCTTGATTAGAGGGGTGAAACTTTCAGCCCCATTTCCCACCCTCTCAAGGGGAAAGGGGCTAGAGATTGAGTTCAAGCACGTGGCCAATGATTTAATCAATCGTGCTTTTATAATAAAACTCCAATAAAAACTCTGGACTGCAGGGCTTGGGGAGCTTCCTGGTTGGTGAACATACCCATGTGCTGGGAAGAGGGCATATCCTAACTCCGTGGGGATGGGAGTGTTTGTGCTTGGGGCCCCTCCAGCCCTTGCCCTCTATGGGTCTCTTCATCTGGCTCTTCCTTGGTATCCTTTGTAATAAAATGGTGATTGACATATAGTGCTTTTCTGAATTCTGTGGGTCATTCTAGTGAATCATTGAACCTGAAGGGGGGGTCATGGGAACCCCTGCACTTGTAGCCAAGTCAGACAGAAGTATGAGTAGTCTGAGGTCCCCACCTGCAGCTGGCATCTGAAGGGGAGGCAGCCTCGCTGGAACTTGGCCCTTTCACGTGTGGCATCTGCACTAACTCCGGGCAGTGTCAGAACTGAACTGAACTGAACTGAACTGAACTGAACTGAACTGAAGTGAATTGAATTGAATTCACTGAATTGATTGAATTCATTGAATTGAATTGAATTGAATTGAATCGAATCGAAGGACACCACTACTGCCTGGAATGCAGTTCTGCTGGAATACACCACTACTCTTGTCTAGAACAAGGGTAAAGGAATAGCTCTGACTGGAGGTTGAAGAAGGAAAGAATGACCATTCTAAGTTCACGTCTACTGAGTCTACAACCAGGTACCAGAGCCTTCTAGATGCCTGCACTTGCACTAAACACATAGTTAAGAAACTATAAGATGCTGCCCCATCCTCACAGGGCGGAAGGTGTACCCAGAGGAGCTAGAACACATAGCCCTAAATCCCTTAAATAAAAATGAAGGGCAACTTAACAACCACGTGCTAAGCGGTATGTACATAAAGGACTAAGACCAGTAAGAATAAAGCGAGCAACTCAAGGCACCAGAAAGGCAGGAAGGAACCATTTTGGTCTGTTTCGTCAATGTCTCCTCAGCATTCAGTAGACAAGTAAGTTTCTTAAGAGCAGAGATAAGAAAGAGTTCACACTGATCAAGAAACATGTGATCCTTGATCACCATTGGAAATAATTAGGGCACCAACACTTTTTTCATAACATTGGCAACAAACAGCAATATAGGAAATAACTAAACACGGCCTTCTTGTACAAACTATTTCAGGACAAACAGCTACAACAGATAATGAAAAAATATTTTTTACAAAATCTATTTTAATATATATTGAAAGGATGACAAATTAGAAACATCACCATTTTGCAACCTCTGGTCGAATAAATGTCAGGCAGAGATGCACTCATTAGAGGAAGTGCTGGTGGAGAACTCTCTGGTAGTTGGGGTGCAGACTGTCACCTCCTAAACTTGCAGATTAATCAAAGCACCAGTAGGAAAGAGACACCCAGGAGTAGTGTGTCTGCTGGTGGGAGGCAGTAGGAAGTGTACAACACCATTCATTACGTGTTTTTTGCCAAACCAAAGAAAAAAGGGAGTTGAGTTAGCAAATTCCAGAAAAAATGTGTAGGCCAGACAGACCTCATAGGAAAAGAACATCAAAGAAAGGAGAGAAAGAAGGACAGAAATGTGGAAGAATGTGTGTTCTTAAAACCACAAAAGGGAAATAATCCAAGATACACAAGGATCCACAAAAGAGGAATATAGCAAGAGTCCAGTTAAGTAGAGTTAAAGGGCAAGGTTCGAGGCCCATAGTCAACTCTCGGTTACCCCGGCAACGAGGTCCCCACTTGCAGGAAAGGAAGGAAGCAATGATTAGAAGTGGGGCTGCACGGGGCAAGCGGCCCATGGTGCAGGAGGAGTTTGGAAACAGCTTGAGTGGCAGACCACAAATGAGGCCACGAAGAGGGAGAATTTGTGGATCACGAGATTATCTGGAGCCCACACCGTTCTGGAGGGTTTCATCTGCTCTGGCCTCAGGCATCTCCAGCTGAGTTTGGCCAAATCTGAGTGGTAAAATTTTAACAATTTTTTGGTTCTGTTTCTTGGCATCAGGGCCTGGGGTGAACCCCCAACAAGGAAAAGGCAACAAAAATTCTCTCCTGGGGGTGTGCTGTGTGGGCTGGCCTGGGTGGGGTATAGACCTGGAGGGAAGAAGTCAGCAAGGGACTCCAGTAACCTAACCCAAACAAAAGGGTCCCATCTGAGCACCAGTGGTGCCCAGCATGCATGCCTTGGGTGAAGTTCCTCGAAGAGGTGCCACATCCCAGCCATTATCCCTCCATTGCAGGGCCAGGCTGGGAATTGCAAGGGAGAAATTCTCGTGTTCTTAGGGATGAGGCTCCGGCTGACAGAGCTGGAAGTCGTCACCAGGAGAAAGGCTCAGGTATTTGGGGGCAGGAGGGTAGGTCAGGAGAAAACCTTTCCCCAAAGGTTGGCCATGGTGATGGCCAGAACAATGGGAGAATGAGGTAGACAGCAGGCGACCACTGTGAGCTCTGGCAGCAGGAGGAAAAAAAATGTCCCTGGACCCCCAGGAGACTGGAAAAGCAAGAGGGGGCAAGCAAATAATAGCCCTAAAGATGTCCATGTCCTACCCCTGGAGCCTTTGAATCCGCCACCTGACAAAAGGGACTTTGCTGCTGTGATCAAGTCGAGGGTCTTGAGGTGAGGAGAAGATTCTGGATTATCGAGGGGGAGCCAGTGTTACCACATGAGCCCTTTAAAAGCAACGAGCCCTTCCCACATGAAATTGGAGAGATTTGGCAGAAGAGGAGGCAGGAGAAGGCCTGGGCTGCTGGCTTGATGCAGTTTGTCATGAACAGGGAATGTGAGTGACCTCTGGAGGCTTAAGAATGACACCCACCCCCTCCCAACCCCCGACAGCTGGTGAGGACACAGGGCTCAGTACTGCGATTAATCGGCTGAAACTGGGCTCTGCCAACAACCTCCCCAGAGCCTCCACTAGGAACGCAGTGAGGCCAGCACCTTGATTTTGGCCTTGTGGGACGCAGCACAGAGAAGCCAGCCTGGTCTATAGGCTGTCCGACCTACACCCCCGTGACATAATGAACTTGCATTGTTTTAAGCCACTGAATTTGGGTAATTTGTTTTGACAGCACCTGTCACAAAGGGACGGTGGCGGTAAGCCGCTCTGGGACTGGGCCTGCTGGGAAATCAGCCCTCCCCTCCAGGAGCGCAGTCATCCCGTGCCTGCTCCCATCTGAGCCCAGGGAAGGCTCCCCCCATGGGGCAGGGAAACCAATTCTCCTGCCCCCCAGAACTCCCAGCACCACAGCGAGGGTTGAGGGCCCATGCCAACGATTCTCCAGCAGCCTACATTTCATTGCAGTTCTGATACTGCCTACCCAGAATCAGGGTGGACCCCAAAGATTAAGGGCTCTGCCCCCACCTCCATGTCAAAGCCCGTCCAAGTCCAGGCCCCCAGTACTTCCAAACAACAGGTTATAAAGTGCGGGTTCCACAACTCCCTCCTCAGATTCCAAATTTTGCTAGAATGGCACACAGAGCTCAGGAAAGCCATTCACTTACTAGGTCAGCGGTGGGTCACCAAAGGCTGCGCTCAGGGACAGCAGGAGGGCCCTCTCCCAGGCTTGCTGGGATCTGCAGGCCTCTGTGCGCTGGGGGAAGGCTGGGAGGAGGGAAGGGGGGGAGAGAGAGTTCTCGGCTTCTTCTTGGCTCTCCCTATTTCCCCTGCTTCCTCCATTCCCACCATTAAAGGGAAAGACTGGTTTTCTAACAATTTCATGTATAATTTCACTCTGGGCATGTCACTCACCCGTGGCAGGTAGTTTCAGCTGCCCGGGCCGCCGGGGTCTGTCCCCCGAGAGCTACGTGTGCCCTGCTCCCAGCCTCATCCTTCCCTCTCGTGCCCTCTGCCCCCCACCTCCCTCCTTGTCCGCCGGCTGCCTGATCCGCTCCTGCGCTCTTTGCCCTCTGCAGCCTGGCTCTGCTGCCCATCTTGTGGCAATAGAATGAAATGCGCCTGAGCAGGAAGCGGGAAAGTCCAGCCACCGCGACTGAGTAGGGCAGGTTCATTCTGAATCATGATCCCTACAATAAGGCACCTTTAAGCAATCTGTTACTTCCACGTACAGTTCATTAACTACTCACTGGGAATAAAGAAGGAAAAACTGGCTAATGGCTCTAAAACAACTTTTTCTTCTAATTCAATTGCCCGCACAGCTAGGGGCACAGCACAGACTCTACCGACGTAATCCACTGTGGTATTTCTGCAATCACCCTAAACTGCATATTTAAGGAACAAGTCTTTCCACTTACCTGGGATTTGGACGTGAGGAATGCAGGTCTGGCAGCTCTGCAGGCTTTCTTGCTCCGAACAATTCCCTTCTAAAACGCTTGTGCAGGACAGCCTAAAAAATAAATGGAGCTGTGTTCACCGATCAGGAGACTTAACATTGGTAAGATGGAAATGCCACCCGAAGTGAGACACAAATCCAGTGCAATCCCCATCAAAATCCCCATGGCATTTGTTAGAGGAATGGAAAAAGTCATATGGAATTTCGAGGGACCCAGGGCAGCCCAAACAATCTTTGAAAAAAAGAACAAAGTCGGAGGACTCACATTTGCTGATTTCAAAACTGGGCATAAAGCTTCAGTAAATCAAAACAGTATGGCATTTACATAAGAAAAGACATATAGACAGACCAATGGAACAGAACTGAGAACCCGGAGGTAAATCTTCACATCAAGAAACTGGAGCCCTTGTATGTTGCTGGTGGGACCATAAAATGGTGTGGCCATTGTGGAAAGAGTCTGGCAGTTCCTCAAAAAGTTATACACAGAATTTCCATATGACTCAGCAATTCCACTCCTAGACATATACTCAAAAGAACTGAAAACAGGCACTCCGACAGATGCTTGGATAGGAATATTCATAGCAGCATTATTCATGCTAGCCAAAAGACGAAGACAGCCCAAGGGTCCATTAACAGAGGAACGGACACAAACTGCGGTCCCTCCACACCATGGAATATTATTCAAGCATAAAAAGAATGAAGCGCTGACACACCCCACATCATCGATGGACCTTTAAAACATCATGCTAAGTCACAGAAGTCAGACACATGAAATAATGGAATTATTGCTGAATGGGTACAGTGCTTATGTCTGGGATGATGCTGAGTTTTAGAAACAGAGGTGATGGTCACACAGCACTGTGCATGTAGTTAAGAGTCCATGTGCACTTAAAAACAGTTAAAACAGTGAATCATATGTCAGACATACTTTACCACAATAAAAAATAATAATAGTATATATATGGAACTGGAAAAATACTTCAATTAATTCACTTAAAATAAGAATCACTTAACATGTCATACATTACGTTCCAGTTAATTGCTAACTTTTCAAACAGACAAAATCAGGTTCTCTTCTCTTTTTTTCCAATAAAATTGTATCTTTCACTCAGAAACAGCCCAGTCTGAGCACATATCCACATCTAAGTGTTAGGCCTGGAGGGATGTTGGAATACAGACTAATTTCATAAAGGCATTGGTGAATGCCTTTACATCTAGACATCTTTTGTTTCTCTAAGATCATAAAAATATGGAAAACTAAAGAAACCCTGGACTCAAATGAATAGTCACCTTAGCACCATTAGCAGTAGACAGGACCAACTTCGTAATTTGCAGAATTATGTGCAAAATGAAAATGCAAGACCCCTGTCTTGCCAATGGTTTTCAGCCCCGTACAAGTTCACTATGGATTCAATGTGACCAAAGAAATGACAGTAAAATGCCCCTGGGGAAAGGGCCACACCCAACTTTACTCCCATGATGGCAGGTCAATCACTAGAATCCCGTCCACTCACAGTGAGTCTGCATGCAGCAAGCTGGTCTCTACCTCTGGGCCTCTCCACCCATGCAGCCATCTCGGTCTCTGTCCTCAATGCTGCCACCACTTCAGTCTCTGCTCTGCTCTCCTGTAGCCCTGCAGCCGTGCCTCCATGTCATGCAGAGCACTGGGCGGAGCTCTTTATATAAAGTCAATAACAATGCATTGCCCACACGTGTGTAGTGAGCCAGCCAACCAGGGCCAGGTGAGAATCCTGGCCACAGGAACTTTCATTTTATCCACAATCCCCAACTGAGTTAGATACCTGACATCCTTCCCACCTCCACAAATTACTCCACAGGATTCAGTGCTTGCCTCCTTCTTCACCACAGCCACTAAACCCACCCACCTGTCCCCACCCTAACGCCACTGTCCTCCTCCACAGCGCACACTCCCACCCAACCAGGTCCAGCTCGGGCTAACCTCTAGCTCATAACTCTGCTCAAGGGCTCCCGAGAAACACCGCAGAAGCTAACTACACTGTACCACACCCCCACCCCATTCATCGGAGGCCAAGCTGGGCTCAGCTCTGTGCACCCTGTCCAAGAAAGAGCAAACAGAAGCTGCCGGCCACTAAGTATCCTGTGTGCTTGGCGTGGAGCTTTTCTTTGACAATCTTGTTTGATTCTTGCCTGTGAGGTGGAGGCTTTCCTCTCCAGCTCAGAGAGGGGGAAACGGAGGCTCAGTGCTGTTCTCTCACTCAAGGTCACTATCCAGGCCTTGACCAGAAAGCATCCCCTTGCTCACTCACACCTGAAACCTCACAGGAGGAGACTCCGGACGCACACAGAGTGGGATGCCAGGGAGCCACACTATCTTCCAGCTGCCCTTGCACGGTTCCTGCAAGTCACTAAAGGCTCCAAGTCCTTCTTTCCCCTCGGGCTCTGTGTCCTCCAAGTCTCCTGCAGCAAACAACCCCAACAGGCCCAGAGCCAAGACAGAAACTTCATTAGCAAGCCTTCTAGGGGCACTGCCCGGCTCTGCTATTTCAAAGCTGTTCTGAGTCAAAATGTCCCTGTTATTGGGCAATGCATCCCTCACTGCTCAGCTTGATTTAGAAGACTGGGAGACTGAGGCCACCACAGCTGCTGTATCAAGGCTGAGCGAAGAGGGAGGGAAGGAAGAGACCCCCCAGGCTCTGGTCTGGCCCAGGTGTAGAGATGTCAAATGGGCTGAGCACTCTCTTCTCTGGGGCCAAGAAATGAGATAAGTGCCATATTATCCAAAACCCTCAAAACTGCCCTCTGAGTTGGATACCATTATTCCTACTTTACAAATAAGGAAACTGAGACCCAGTGAATTCACGTTCTTGGCTCAAGGTCTCAAGGCAGGTAGGTAGGCTGGTGAGATTCTACCCTGGGCCTCCATTGTTTTGAGAGCCCAACATTCATTCAATTCCTTAATGCTTGTCCTCCATTCCTATGGGACAGGTATCTATTCTTAGATCATTCCCATTTTACAGATGAGAAAACAGGCACAGAGTAGTAAAGTAACTTGTCCAAGATCACACAGCTAGGAAGGGTTGAATCCAGGATTTCAACTCCAAGAGCCAGACTCCCGGCTTATAAGTTTATCCCTTACCTAAAAATGGCAAATGCAGGATCCATTGAAATCTGCCACCAAGGTGTGCAAGACACAAACAGGACCCTTCAGTGACCACACCACAGTGAAACAACAGAGAAGAAAGGCAAAGGGGCCGTGCAGGGGCTTGGAAGGTCACTCAGTCACCCCTCAGCTGGGAACCCGAAAGACTGAATCATGGTCCCCAAAGATGGCCCCATCCTGGCCCCCACAACCTGTAAACATGTGGCCTTACATGGCGAAAGGACTCCACAGGTGGAATTGAGCTAAGGATCTGCAGGGGGGACATGGTCCTGGATTAACTGAGTGGGCTCAGTGCCATCACAAGGGCCTTTGGAAGAGGAAGAGGAAGAGGGAGGGACTTGGAGATGGAGGAAGGGGCCTCTAGAACCCGGGCAAGGCAAGGCGACACGACCCCCAGAAGGAACACAGGCCTGCCAAGCCTTGGCTTCCGGCTTCTCATCTCCAGCCCTGTAAGGAAGCAAACCTGTGCTGCCCGAAGTCACCAAGGTGGCAGTCACGTGACACAGCAGCGCTAGCAGCTGACACGTGACTTTAGGAGGGGCTCTTCTGACTCTATGGGCCTCTGGTGCCCCATCCATATAACGAGGAGAAGGATGTCTGTCTCCCTTGCCTGTGGGGAGACCTAAAGGTGAAAAGGCTTGGGAAGTGCCCTGTAAATGAGGACTGAACATTTCAGTCCATTTCATAGCATACCCTTGACCTCTCTCTCTGGCTTCAGGGGTCAAGAGCACCTCCCCCTGCTCTCTCCTTCCACCCTCTCCATGCTGGGGAAATCTCCTGCTGTGTTCTCCAGGGTCTCCCCCTGCAGACTCAGCTTCCAGATGAACAGCAGACGGCTAGCCAGGTGTCAGAGGCTTGGCCAGAGCCCAGACGGGGAGACCATGGGACAGAACCAGACTGTCGCATCAGAGAGGAGCACAGCTGGCAGCGGCCACTTTCTTTTCTGCAGCTTGGCTGCCTGTCTGCCTGACCAGGTGGGGTCCCCTGAAGCCTGTTAACCACCACGGGCACTGGCCAAGCCATGAAAGCCAATCGCACTAAGGAGATCCGAGCCAATGCCGTGGCACTGGCCTTCCCTGATGAGACTCTTGCCTCTACCAAGGTTCAATCATTCGTTTGTTCACTCCTCTGCATTTAAATGAATCAACTACACACCAGCACTGCACGCTGCCCACCCAGCAGGCATACCTCCATTTTTCCTTGTTCCTCAAACCATCCACCCAATCCCAGGGAATGAGGCTTGATTGATTGGTCTAAGCCAATCCTGGCATCTTGTGCCCTCCTTACCAGTGATTGGTCTAGAGGTGAGCACGCGACCTAGTTCTGGCTAATTAAACACAAAGGTAAGTCTGCTAGGGGATTCTGGAAAGAGAATAGGCATGGAAAACACGTTTTTATCTTCTTTCTCTCCTGCTGCTCTGGACGCTGTTGCCTAAGATTGTGATTTCAGCATGGCAATGGAGCTTCAGCAGCCATTTCGTGACCTCGAGGTGACAACACTAAGGCTGAAATACCAACATGTCTAGAATGGAAAAGCAGAAGGATGGAAAAGCCTTAATAGCTGGGGTGGTTAATTTTATGTATTTCCTTGGCTAGGCTATGGTGCCCAGATGTTTGGTCCCACTCAAGTCTAAATGTTTCTAGGAAGATGTTTTTAAATATGATTAGCATTTAAATCAGTTGAATTTGAGTAAAACACATTGCCTCATCCAATCCATTGAAGAGAGAGAGAGAAAGAGAGGGGGAAGGCAAATATGATAACAGGGTAACATTTGAAGGATCTGGGTGCAGGGTATAAGAATTCATTGTACTCTTTGTAATTTCTCTATAAGGGCATAATTAATTAAATATTTTTAAAGGGAGAGGAAAAGAGCCAGGGTTCAAACTAAGTTTATCTGATGCAAACCCTGGGCTTTCCTCTGGAGCCCGGATTGGAGTGCCAGCTCCTGGAAGCCCTGAAGTCATCTAGGGTCAGGCACACGCCCTCTCACACGCACAACCAGTACCTCCTTACCAAGAGGCAAGAGGATTAATGTCACTGAGCCGTGAAGGTCCTTTGAAGGCTGCCCAGCCTCCCGTACACACCAGGAGAGTTACGATGGTGATGCTTTTATCATAGCAAATACTTCCTCCCTCATGTTGACTTTGGGGTAATTTGGATTTTTGTGGGAAGGATTTGCTCGAAGCTATGTGTACCCATAGAAAGGCGGAAGAGGACACTAGCTGAGCCAGTTAGTGGTCATATGACCTTGAGCAGCTTGAGTTTCTGTGACTTGGTTTCCTTATCTGTAAACTGAGACAATAATAGCACAGATCTCCTAGGGAGGTCATGAGGCTTAAATGGATTAAAATATATATAAGGAGCAGAAGGCAGTGCCTGGCACAGGAATAATGCTCTGCAGCCACTAGCTGTCATCATTACCACCATCATCACCAAGATTAATATAGTTTCTGGCAAGATCCTTGGCTGTAATGTCACACCAGCCCAAGTTTGGGCCCCTGATGCATTTTACTAGCTGGAGACACCAAGTGAGTCACTTGTCCCTCCAGGTTCCTCCTCTGTAAAGTGTGGACAATGTCAATGCTTTCCGCATCAGGCTGTCATGAAGGTTAAATGATGGCAAGCACGTGACGCACTTAGCTTGGTGCTGGGCACACAGCAAGCCCTCACTGAATGGTCAGGATAAAAGTTACCTGGAACACCCATAGGATGCCTCCTATCAAGAAATCAGAAAAGTATGTGTGAAGTGCAGTGAAGTCAGAAATCTTGTGCACTGTTGGTGGGAATGAACATGGTGGGGCTGCTGGAGAAACCAGGATGGCGATTCTGCAAAAAGGTTAAAGCTAGATGACCATACTGCATCAGTCAGCGCAGACCGCCATGATAAAAAACCATAGACTGGGTGGTTCACACCACAGACGGGTATTTGCTCACAGCTCTAGAAGCTGGAAGTCCTAGGCAAGGGTAGCAGCTCCAGCGTGGTCCGGTTCTGGTGAAGATGACCGCCTTCTTGCTGTGTGCTCAGTGTCTGCATGAAGACAGAAGGGGAGAGAAGGAGGGAGAGAGCTCTGTGTCTTCCTTTTTTTTTTAAGACCACAAGGCCTATCAGATTAGGATCCCACCTTACAACCCCATTTAACCTTAATTATCCCCTAAAAGCCATGTCTCCAAATACAGTCACACTGGGGATTAGGACTTCCATATATGAATTTGTCAAATCCGTTAACAGCACATACGACCCAGCAATTCCACTTTGGGGTATGTTCGGAAAAAATTAAAAGCAGTATCTCAAAGAGGTATTTGCACGCACATGTTCATAGCAGCATTATTCACAATAGCCAAGAGGTGGAGGCAACCTAGGTGTTCATGAGGGTGAATGGATAAACAAAATGTGCACGCATCCAAATGGAATATTACTTGGCCTTAAAAGAGGAAGGAAATTGTGACATATGAAACAACACAGATGAACTTTGAGGACATTATGCTATGTGACAAAAAGCCCAGTCACAAACAGACAAATACTGTATAATTGCATTTACATGAAGTACCTACAGTAGTCAAAACCGTAGAGACAAAGTGGAACGGTGCTTGCCCGGGGCTGGGGGAGGAGGAAACAGAGAGCTGTTTAATGGGTACAGAGATCCAGTTTTGCAAGATGAAAAGGTTATAGAAATTGGTTGCACAACTTAACACTACTGAACTGCATGCTTACAAACAGTTAAAATGATACATTTTGTGTTGTTTTATTACAATAAAAATAAATAAAAATGACTTACCTGGAAATCCTAACATTCAAACACTGGCCCCAAAATAGGCCACCAGAGGGCGCTGTGCACCACACCCATTTCATTTCAAGTCCCAATTTTGGCCACTGTGAACAGCCCCTATGAATATTCTTCAATGTGACTCCTGTTGTAGGTGGGTAAGAATTCCTCCAGGGTGCACACTTCGGAGTAGAATTATATGGGTCAGAGGATATGCATATGCTTAGATTTAGGAGAGAAAGCCAGACTCTCTTTGCATTCCCAGAACTATCATTTCCCCAGAACGGTGTCTGAAATATAGTACGTGTTCAATAAACATGTGATTGAATGAACAAGTGGGTGGCGCAAACCCTGAGAGCTAATATTGTGTATTATCAGTCCAATTACCTGGAGAGGTGGCGATGGGATGATTCAACTCTGTCTCGTGACAATATGAGCAAACAGTTTACAGGTGTTCATTCAAAATGAGTCATTCCTGCAACTTTTCTGTAAGTTTGACAACCTTCCAAATAAAAAAATAACAAGGATAAGAAAATTGTTAACTACATGTTTAATGAAAAGATCAAAATAACATATTGAACTTTAAATAAAAGCATCACCTGAATAAAAAAAAAAGAAACCACATGAATGTGGCTTCAGAATTGGTGTAGAGATCTCTTGCCACCCGCGTCCCTGCTTCCCTCCCTCCCTCCCTCCCTCCCTGCCCTCCCTTCTCCTACAGCTAGGAGCCCCAGCTGCCACACACCAAGTCCCCAGGCCCTGTGGCGGCCGCACCAGCTGTCCCAGGACCCCGCAGCCCCCCAGGCTGCAGGAAATGCCTTTGCCTGGCCAGGCTTCCAAGCCATTCTCTGTGGACCTTAGGCCTCCCCTTTGAGCCTGTTTCCTTATGGCAACACAGAGCCTGCCGTCTTCTCCATCCATGGAGGGCCAGCTGTGTGCCAGGCTCAGGGGCTGCCCTAGCAGAACTGGGGTGGGGGGTGCTGAGCAAGCAGATCAGATGCTGCAAAAGGGCAAAGGTATGGAACTCTGCAACAGTGAGGGAAAGAGGGTGTCCTGACAGAGCAGCCAGCCCTGCAGAGGCCCAGAGGTGGAGTGAGACATGTCCGAGGAGCAGCGAGGGAAGGCCCGTGCGACTGCAGGGCACCAGGCCCGAGTTGCTTCTGGCCACCAGTTTGTTCCTCTCCAGATTCTTCCCTCTCCAGGAACTGCCTGGACCCCAGCTCTGACTGGGGGTGTCTGAGCCCCTGCATTGCTGACACGGCATGCCACAGGTAGGGAAGGAATAACGGGCTGGCCAGTGAATTTCTTATTCTTCTCTTGGCCCATTTTACAGATCTTATAAGTGAGGCACAGAGCAGTCCCAGGCTAACCTGGGAGCCAGCATTTGGGGGCTGGTTGGGGGTGGAGAGGAAACCTAGAAGCCATGAGGGGCTAGACTGCCCCACACACACACCAGGCAGTGAAAGCAGAGGGAGACCAGGTCCCAGAATCCAAGCGCCAGGGAGCCTACAAGGTCCAGGGCAGGGCTTTGACACTCTGGCCCTGACAGAAATGGGTAAACAGGCCGACCTTCAGGGGGGAGGCTGTGTGACCCCACATGACCAGGTCCCTCCCAGGCAGCGCTTGGGGCTGTCCCTGTGTCCATCACCCAGCACCTTCCTGGAGCCCAGGGGGCCCAGCCTTGACCCAGTGGGTCGTGTCCCCACCAATCCCGTTGAACTGAGAACGTAAGCTCTGAGTGGGACAGTGACCACACTGATCTCTCCGTGGGGCCCCTTGTGCCGTCACACTCACAGGACCACCTGGGGGGCCTCTCCAGAGCTTCCCTGAGGGGACCCAGGGACGCTGGAAGCCTGCCCCTCCTGGGATGCCCAGTGAGGGTTATCTCGGAAGGGGTGTGGTGACCCCCGGTGGAAACACACCCCATCCGTGCCTCTGCAGGCTCACACAGCTTCAGACGCGAGTGGGAAAACTAAACTTTCTTTTAGTTAAAGAAATACCAAAATACATATATACACACACAGAAAATAAGGTTCAACCTCTCAGCTAATCCCATCTCTTAAATATAAAATAAGAAATGAAAGTCCTCCCCACATCCCGAGTAATAGCTGAACCCATAGGGCATTTCCTCCTGCTCTTTTTTGATACACAATTTTTTCCTTTGTAAAAACTTTACCCCCAAAATGGCACCGTGGATCCCCAACTTGTATTAATCTCAACAGTACACCTCAGACATCTTTCTCATTCAGAATGCACATGCAAAGCCCTTTGCTGTAAGGCGAGGACAGTATTCTTTGGAAAGCCATGTGAGAATCCCCTTAGACATCCCTCTTGCTAGACGCGGGTTGTTTCTGAGTGTTCGCTGCCACAGGCCATGTTCTAATAAGCACCCCTTCTTGCACTATGCTTTTTAGTACATTTATTAGTAGGAGGACTGGAATTGGAGTAGAGTTCAGAGGCATGTAGAATTCCCTTATGGTAATAAGCACCCCGCACCTACCATCACAGGATGTGGCCAATATTACTGTTTTGCAAAGTATTAGGACAAAACATGGCTTCTTATTTGCAGATTTTACCTTCCTTTTGTCACGAGTGACTTTAAGCTTCTTTTTCTCTGTTCTTTCCAATTGCTATTTGTATTTCTTCTTGAATGTTCATTTCTCTGCCTGGTTTTCTGTTTGGTTGTTTTTATTGATTTACAGAAGCTCTTCCTATGCGAAGGATACAAATCCATCTGTTAAAATGTTGCAAATATTTTTCTCTCCAGCTGTCACATCTTATCTAACCTCATAGGTAGGTCTGTTAGAATTCAGAAGTGTGTAGTTTTTATGTAGTCAAATTCGGAGATTTTTTTCCTTTCACAGCTCCAGGCTTTGTGCCTTTTCCATCCACAGAGAGTGCAAGGAGGTGTGTGGAAGATGTAAGTCCAGCCTTTTAGCTGAGTCCAAGGAGCTCCTGCCCACTGATCCTGCCTCACACACACTCCCCATCAGCTATTTGAAGCTCCCGCCTTCACACGGACAAATTGGAGCCAGGGCTGAGCCTAGACACTTGAGAACCCAGACCGGACTGGCCCTCAGCCCCGAGAGGAGGAACAGAGCCTGTCTCCCTCCCTAGGCCTCTTGGATGACCTATTTGCACAACCTGTTTATTTTCCTTGCAAACACACAGCAGAGCCACATCAAGCGCCAGCCAGGAGGGAACCCGTACAGCTGACTCTTTTGGGCCTCAGTTTCCTCCTCTAAGAAATGAGGCCAGTCAGAGTGTCCCACTCGCCAGGCTAGAGGTAGGTCACAGGAGATGCTGAACATTACAAGTAAACCATGGTGCCAGGCACAAAGCCAGCGCCCAGGTGACCCCCATCTGCCTACCTTTTCTAAAAAGCAGGCAAAAACACCCTGCCTTGTGGTGGTCCCAGCACAGAACCCTGCCTGGGTCCACTGACCAGTCATGTGGCTTTGGTCAAATGGGTGTATCCCTCTGTGCCTCGGTTTCTCCATCTGTAAAACAGGCATCATAATGGCCTCACAGAACCAGTGAGATATGCAGGAAAGCAAGATGTCAACAGCTGTCGGGGCCTGGAAGATGATCGAGCCCAGCCTCTGAATTTCAGAAAGGGAAACTGAGGCATAAGAGGGGCAGACTCTGCCTAGGGTTAGACAGCCGAGATGTGGGCTTTACCCCAGTTCTGTTGGCAAGCTGGGCCAAGAGGCGGGGAATGGGGCTCATGCTGTTTCCTCTCCTGGACCCCCACCTCTCAGACCCCAAACCTGTCCCTGAGAACCAGGAGCCCAGCCATACCTTCCCTGACTTCAGTGCCAGGCTCAAGGCCTATGGTTATGGGTCATGCCTTGTGGAGTAACTTGACGAGAAAGCCGAGGTCCCTGCCCTGGCAGGAGGTTGGGGACAGTGACAGCTGTTTATCTGGTACGTGTGAGAGGGTGACCAGAAACGGTGAGAAGAGAGGAGCTATCAGATGGGTGGTGGGCTCTGGCCTGCTCTGAGGGCTGAGGGGCTTCCTGGAGAAGGCAGCACCCAAGCTGAGGGCTGTATAGGAAGATGAGGAGGGGATAGCCAGGTACAATGAGAGAAAGGGGGCCCCAGGAGGAGGGCATGGTCAGGGCAAAGGCCTGGAAACTCACAGGTGAGGGGAGGAATAGCTGTAGACGGTGGGCACATGCGGGCCGGTGAGGTTGCACGGAGTCGGGCTCAGGGGCCCGGCTCCAGACAGGGTGGCAGGGACTGGTGTCCGTGCCACTATCAGCAGCCCTCAACACATAGCCAGGGAATGGCCTGCGATCCCCTGTGCCACCCCCCAGTCTTGGCCCCTGCTGTGCCCTCTTCCTGACCACCCACTCCAGCCTGGAGAGTTTTAGGCCCAGCCCCCAGGACCCGAAGGAGACCATGCCACCTTCCTGGGTTTTCCCCACACCCTTGACTAAAACCCAAACTCCTTAGTGTGGCAAGGTGCTGACAGCCCAGAATGCCCTTCCCCAACTTCTGGAAGGTACTGGGAAGCAGACGAAGGTTCTTAGAAGGGTGGGCCAACCAGGGATAGGTCCCCGACAGCCTTAGGCCTCAGTCTCCCCATCTGAATAATGGGGTGACTCCTGCTGCCTCTTGCTTAAGGGTGCTGGGGGGCCCGGAGAAGGGGGTTGCCCCAGGGTGCCCAGGGTGGTTGGACAGTGCCTGTGGGGCCCATTGGGGAGGCACCCCATGTTTGCACAGGCCCCCCCAGTATATGGTGGGACAGGTGTCGGCTCCCCCCTGCCTCTGACCCACAGATTTGGAGGGAATGCGACGGAATGCTGAAGATCTGAAAGGCCAGCCAGGGGACTCGAGGCGTGGCAGCACAAGAGAAATGCCGAAAAGGTGCTCCTCATATTTATTCAGCAAATGAACTTAAACATCTAAAGAATTTTGAGTAGGGGGTTCAACACATGATCAACACACAATCATTATCTGACCTTGAGTCTAGCCCTAGGGCATGATGCTCCGCAAGGATACCAAAACCATGTGAGGGCGGTCACGAGCTGTAGGAACTGTTTTGGCTTTAATCATTCTGTTTTTGATCACACATCAAGAGTTGTAGGAAAAACAATCAAGTCATATGTATTTGTATATTTGATTTCTATATGACTTGATTTATGAATTAATTCCATTAATCCCACAGACAGGCCCCAAGGGCCCTCAGTCAGGAGCTTTGGGCATCTGGCCAAGGTTGGAAGGGCCACCCTCAGTGGGTGGCACCAGCCTGGGGGCGGACAGCACAGGGAGGTGGGGTGGGGCTGGTGGTGGCCCGGGGGACAGAGGTTTGCTGTGGTTGAGCTCAGTCCAGGGCCGGGGCCTCAGCCTGGGCTTGGGGCTCCTTCCATCCCCTCAGCTGCCACCCCTGGCACTCAGCTCCTCCTGGCCTGGCCTGGCTCTGTCCCCGTGGGCCTGGGCCCCATTCATTCCCATCACTGGCCCTAAGACGTCGGTGCTTGGAGAAGGGCCCCACCACCAATGCTCCTGTCCACCGCCCCACATCCAGGGCAACAGGGGGCTTCTCCTCACCCACACCGGGTGGGCGAGCTTCCAACTGTCCCACAAATCTGACCCCAGTCCACCGGCTCAGCGCCCCCACCGCCAGCCCGTCCCCCCATGATGACACTTCCCCTCAGCAGCCCAGCTCGGCGGCCACAGGGATCATGTCCCTCTCCTGCTCAGATCCCTGCCATGGCTCCTCGGTGCCTACAGCGCCAAGGCCCTCACCCTGACCTCAGCTCCTCCCACCTCCTCCTCAGGGTTCCGGCCTCCTGGGCCTCCCAGGTCTGTGAATACCCCCGCAGCCCCCCACCCAGAGTGCCGTCCCCCTTTGCCCATTGACTTGGCTCACCCCACCGTTCATCCCCGAGTTACTGCCCCAGGGAGCCACCCCAGTGAGGTCGGGGTCCGGTGGGATGCGTTCAGAGCCCCTTCTGGGTCCCTACCTGCTGCCCAGGCAGTGGCAGACGTGACGCTGGGGTTCCAGTCATTCTGAGTCCCCACCCAGCTCTCCGGGGCCACTGGCTCCCCAGGACAAGCTGGGGTGGAGGGACAGGGACAGAGCACCATCGGGTCCCCTCCCGTCCTTGCCTTACAGCTTCAAGAGCCAAGAGGTCAGGACTGGGGCACAGCCAGGGGTACAGCTGCTTCAGCTCCTGTGTCCTGCCAACCTCTGGGGAGGGCGATGAGCCCCCGTTCCATACCTAGGGAAACCCCCCAACCCAGGCCAACCAGCAGGCTCCATAGAAACCTCCCTTCCAGAAGCCAGGAAGAACGACCCCCAGGCTGTGGTGGGGGTGGGCAATGGTCCTAAGGAGCGAGTACAAGTCGTGGTCAGGCCCCTCCACCGGGGGGCTGAACAGACCAAGAGGACCACCAGCTCCATGGGGCTGCAATATGGTTGGCGTGGGGGTCTGCCTCGGGTGATGAGGGCTCTCTCTCCTGCCAGGGCTTCTGGAAAGGAGGGAGGAGCCAAGAGGTGGGGGGTCTTTTCACACCGTCAGAGAAGGCACCACTTTGAGACAAATGAAGATGGGTGTCAGGTGTGTGGCCCTAAAGTATTAGACCCATTACATTCTCTGCGGACAGCTGTGCCTGCCACACCTACCGGGTTGGTCTTCGAGAAGCTTCCACCACCATCCCCAGATTCTGTTGGAAGTCTGTCCCTGGCATTAGTTTTCCCAACCAGAAATGGGGTGATCTCCCCCACAGGACGGTCCCAGCCTGCAGCACACAGTAGGTGTGGCTTGGGTGGAAGGAGGATGCAGCAGGTGGGTAGGTAGGCCTCTGGCTCCTGCCTGCCCAGCCCCATGGTGGGCAGGCAGCCAGAGGAAAACAAAGGCCACAGTCAGGCTGCTGGGGTAGGCAGGTTGTGGGCTGCCCTAGAGGGGCCCCTGGCACCAGCCACTGGCTGCCTGACCCCATGTCAGGGCCCTGTGGGGTGCACCCAGGCCTCAGGGCTGGGCAGAGCTGGTGGCCAGTGGGGGCACCCAAGGGCAGCTCCGCCCAGTGATAGCCCCATGCCAGGCCTCCCCAGGGAGGACAATGGTGGCTTGTGGGTGCCAGAAGGGCCTCCTGGCAGGTGTGAACCCCAGGGTGGACTGGGCCCCAGGGAAGAGCTTTCTGAGCCTGTTTCTTCATCTGTCCTCTGAGTGTCATCACTCAGGCGTAAGGACATGCCAGCCAAACACATGGATGGAAAGAGCCACATTGGGAGGGCAGGACTGTGCCCTATGCCCAGCACTAAACTTGGTACACAGTTGGTGCTCAGTATTTGCATGGCCCATGCATGGATCTTTGCCTCCCTCCGGTGGGTGTGTTGAGGGCCACCCCAAACGCTGACCTGAGTCTGTTGTTTAGACCCTCAGCACTGGTGGGCAGGGGTGCTGGCTGCCCCAAGCCTCAGCCCCAGCCTGGTCTTTGAGAAATCCTCTCTTCTGGTGGAAGCCAGAGCAGGCACTGACCTGTGGGGTCAGGGTTGGGCCACAGAGAAGGGCTGGGGGCTTAGGAGGCTTTCCCTCCAGGGACCCCAGTCTGTCAGTGAGAAGAAGTGGGGTGGATGCAGGCAGTGGCTGTGAGCACCTACTCTGTGCTCAGGACTGTGCCCTTCCATTTTCCTGATGGAGAAACTG